TTACTTGATTCCCATGGAACCTTTCCTAACATTCTGCGCGGCTGCTGGAATTACCCATGAAAAACTGGGCGACATATTGATCAAAATCTCACTGGGGTCTTGTTTCTGCTCACACCCGTAATTTACTGGTTTAAGTGTTTAACGAAGAGGTGAAAGGCAAATGAGTGGTGGACAAATTATACGATGATTCTTCACCTTTTAGTTTTGGCTTTCCACTCGTGCGGCCTTAAAAATTGAAGTAACTGGGACAAGAATCCTAGTTAAATTTTGATATAAAGAGAGCGCCACTTCATATGCAGCAGTAGGAACTACGGAAGCATATCGAAACAAATAGATCTACCATGTGGATTTCCAGATTAGTTGATATGGTGTTGTCTTAATCAGTTAAACTCGTTCCAGGGAGGTGAACGTAATTGAATGTGTTGTAGATTTACGTGAGAGGTGAACGCGTGCAACGGAACTGAAACCGTTCACCTAAAAATGTTTGCATTTCGTAAAGAACTACTTTTGATGCGAACAGGCTACTAATAAAACGTAGCTAATTCTTCCGGAAACAGTGTTTCATTATATAAACAGACAGTTTTCAGGATTCATTGAGTTGTTACTCTACACGAACTCCACGTGTGTTTCTGCGTTAATGATACTGATTATCGCCGTAAATCTGTAATTTACCACTGCATGGTGGTTGATAGGCTGCAAGTTAATAAACTGCCTGACCCAATGGTACACAGTTATATGAAGTATGATCAGCCATTAATAAATAAAACACAACAGTCCGAAATGCACGAAAATTGCCTAATACATAAAGATGGAAAATATTGTAAGCGTTTAATGTTGGTATTTGACAGTACACTGCTAGGCGTTACACAAATTATTGTAACAGAACCTGTGAACTGTGGTAGAGTATAATTCCATCATGGATAAAATTTATTTTGGTGAAGTCACACAGTGTTGTTATACAGTAACATTTTCTGCTGACAACCACGTCTCGAGCACAATTTGTTGCCTCTTATAACGATATCAAGACACTACTCACACAACTTTCTACTTTTGTTCATATAATTTGATTACTTTTCATCACTTGATTTGATTAGTGGTAGTGTTTTCCCTATTTCCGGTATGAGTGATGAGCCACTCCTATTGCATGTGTTGGGTATAGATTCTATGAACAGTAATCAACCTCTCCCTCTACCTACTTATGTTACTTCTTGGACTTCTGACTATGTCTAACCCTCTTGTGTGATTGTGAGTTGACGCATGCGGTGCATTTGCTTAGCTTTTTTCTAAATTACGTATCATCGTGGAGTCAGTTATCCTAACCTTCGCTAAATTCTTATGTCCCGACAATCTGACTACCTCCGATCCAGTAGTTTACCCATGTAGTTGCCCTCGCAGTCATTGCAAGTTATTTTGTAAATTATATCATTTTGTCTAATTAGGTCAGCCTACAGGATCCTTTAACCTACAGAGCTTGTCCCTAGGGAGTTTGTCGACTTGAATGCCGTCCTAATTCCTGCTTTATTGAGAACCCTACGTAGGGTCTCAGATGTCCCCCTTCATGTGGTAAGACTATAGATGCCTGATATTCTTTCTTATTTATGTTATCATTATTAGTTTCGAAAGAAAGGATAAGAGGGGCACTTTTCCAGCAATATTTTATGGTGTATCGTTAACGGTAATGACCGCTATTTTTGGCATTAGAAATAGCCAGCAGTTAAGATGACATCTGAATGCACGTAATAATATTTCGTCACAAAAATAATTGAATGCTGTCATAATTAACAAGTCATTTTTAACAACAGGATCAGGGATTCTCTGGTCTTTTTGAACTCATTTGTCTGAATCATTTTACAAACGAAACTGCACTCTTCCTCAACTTCGTTTCCCAGATGATTATTCCAGGTATCTGCAGTAATATATTCTGTTGTAAGTGTTATTTTTGCCGTTCCCAAAGTTCTTCCAACGTTGTACGTAGAAGGAAGAGCATCAAATATGTATGTAGTCACTCCCAAAATGTTTAAGCATACTGTGGCCCCATTGGCTCCTATAATATTCTAGGATACAAGTTAGTTACGCTGCTCGGATGATTCTTAACTCTTTTCTAGTTGGTCTCGTGTAGACATAACGCACACGACTGCTGTGTGGCTATCAATCCTGCTAGTCTTGGGCTCTAGCTACACTACCTGATGACTTTTAGGACTGGCCCAGCCAAACTTGTTGCCAGGCTACTCTTAACACCACCACAACTAGAGTAATGAGAATATCACACTTAGGGCTGCTGAAGGGTGTATTTATATATGATCACTTTTAAAGAATGTGCAAATACATACTGACACCACAGCGTGGCTACAGAGTTCTTCTCCATTGAAAATAATATTGACCACCATGTGTTTCAGCCCACAGGGATAAACAAAATTGATCGTTGACGGTGAAACGGCAAAGGTTCAACTCGATTGACTAAATTATTTGCCCCCCTACAGTATGCTAAAGCGAAAGAACAGGCCTTTTAGGCTTTCCTTATGGTTCGAAATAACTGGTATGCCGGATGTGATCCTATTGAAAAAAGAATCCTGTTTGCATACAGTGATTCTCCTTCAACCAGGTCGAATTGATAAACGAAACGGTAAGTGTGTCGAGACGTACCTAATCTGACTACACTGTCGCGCATGCTAGTTCTTCAGTTTATAGATGTACAAAACATGGCGATTTGCTCCTTTGCAGGTCATAAACAGAGAAGAAGACCACTCTCTTTCGGCAGCGTTTAATCTCAGAGAATTTAAAATCGTAAAGTTAAAACTGACCATATAAACAACTAGTCCACGGGAAGACAAACAAACCAAACACTAGTTTACATGGTGAAAGTTAAATGCTAGAGATTATGGTGGATCAATCCACTGTGACATTAAAAGTTCAACGTACTGTACAGTGTTCTATGACCCTGGTACCGAATAAGTGTGCTTCGGTTCTTGAGTAACAGCTAAATACAACTTTGAGGTGGCTGTACATTTTCATTAAAGTTAAGGGATCATCCTTAGTCACAATAGCATAACGGTTATAGAACACCGCATACCACATTTCAAGTTCAACAGGCCAATACCACTCCCACAGGGGTATACTGAGGCTGCGGCAGGCGAGTGGCAAGGCTAACTTTGCAGTGGCTAACCGAAGACCAGAAACCGTCTTCTAACTTTAATCCTGGGCACTAAAAGGAGTCCATCTAGTTTACGCTGGTTCGCAAAAATGGTATTAGATATGGGGTCAGTGAACGAGTCATGAAAGTTAATGCAGGTTATGCCAAACATGGCCACCATAGATTTAAAAGCCTTTTGGAACATCAGGAGGCGGCTGCCAATAAATCATAGAGTTCATTCAAGCTTTTTCTCAGGTTGTACGAAATATACATAATAACACATTCTGCAGCGGACGATATCACTGCTCCGACTTTTCTCAGAGGAGACGCCGACCTTTTGGAAACGATCCAAAGACAGGCGGCAAAACGGCTGATGGATTTCCGGTACAAACCATATGATGAAGTGCTGAAGAAATGAGGTCATTTTGTACTTGGCTGCCGTCAGCTTGGAGGTAGCCTAACTAATGCATAAAAGATTACAAATGAACGTAACCACCCCAACAAAAACATTCCGCCATCAAGTCGCTGCAGGCTTCTTTATGGCAACCCACAGTGGATACTGCATCAGAAATCACAGACCTCAGTGTACTAGTATTTCTTCTCTTTTCAGCAGTAGCTGTGGCTACTGCATCATCCACAGAAACTTTGTGGAGAGGTGCACAATAAGACAGCGAAAGATAGGCTGCGTGCAAAGGGCTTATTATCCTAAGACATGCAGAGTTAATGAGTACATATCCAGACTCACCCATAACCACTGCCCAATCTTGCTTGCCTCATTTTTCTGACTACCCTACTTATTTGTTCACTTATTTTACCATTATTTTTATTTATTTTTTGATTTATCAGATTTCATTAACTATGTGGTTGTTCGTTTTTCCTCTGAAGTCTACATGTAGAATATGCACAATATAAACTAGTAGGTGCCGATAGAAAAACTAAGTAATTTGTCCGTTGAAAACATGGGGTAAATGGGTGAAACGTGGGTAGTTATCCCTTTCTAGGCCTGATAAATATAGGTAAAAACTTGTGATGCGTGGGTAAATTGGGAAAAAGTAAGGCGTTCAAATTTTAGTGAACATGGACAAGCGGAGGGAAATTGGGAGATAAGGGCAAATTACGCTGTGTTTTACCCTCTTTTTCCCCACGTCAACGCTGATCAAAATTGCTTATTTATCCCGATTTTCCCACTTTACCCAAGTGCATTCTCCGACTGGAAATTGTATCTATTATTGTTGCTCACTATTATTATCTGTCTTTTCAATCACTGTAGGCGCCTAACGGGTGAGACGATGAATTTTATTCACAGCAGCGACATGGTCTTAACATATCTCATACTACAAACCATATAAAACCGATTCTTGCACTTGCCCCCCATGAAGTCGACCGTAGACGCAACAGCCGACTACACGGAATTTACCAGAGATTAGGAACTTTTCCTTTACAAACGAACACGAAGAAATCAATTTGGTATACACTAGCTCGTAAAAAACACATTGGATATTAGAAGGTCATTCAGCAAGTGTGTTTGATCCGGCGGGGCTTCCAAACTAAGTAGTCTTTATCGTATGTGACCATTTATGGTCTTTTGTACATGGTAAAGTCCAGAGGGTGTATGGTGGGGGTAGAAGTTTTGTACAGGATTTTCATAGTCTTCTGGTTTTTGCGCTTTGGTACATCTGATGAAGCCTTGAGTGGACTTTTACCAACAGGTCTTTCCAAAGACAAGAGGTTAGTGGTTTCATATGGTTGTTTTTCAGTTAATAAGAAATTTTTTTGATTTTTTTCAATACCCTTCGTGCCTATTTCCACTTCAAGGTCAAATACGGTTTTTCACAGTTAATTTAGATACTAATTTTGATGAGCGTATTAATTGATATTAATATACTCGTCACCCAAATAAAGAGGTTTGGGACAATTTCATGGTTTTTGCGAGAAGTTTTGGGGTATTTGGGGATCTTACCTGCTCAGCGGAGAGAGTTTGTGGGTTTTTTCGGGGGAAGTATTGCATTTCCCCGAAGTTTCTGCCCAGATTGGAAGTCTAAACGTTGATATATTTAGGTGATCCAATTTTTGTGTACTCACTGGTGGATTACTCAGCACTTTACTTCCAGAATCAGCGACTCAGGGAAATTAAAAACTGTTCTTAATTATTCATATTATAAAGATAAGTTGTGGTCGTTAGTTGACTTTCTATTGGGTCACTATCAACTGACTATTTATGTTGTATGGGTTTTTCGTCAAACGGCACTGCAAAGTTATACGTTGCCCAAATAAAAAGATTACCAGTTCAGTTTCAAATAAATCTTGAAACACAAGGAAATCAGTTTTTAAAATTGTGCATAGCTGATGATTGCGTTTAAAAAGTGAACTCAATCACTATGCACCCGATCTATGATCTGTCTCAAGTAACCGAAGGAACTTAAATATTATATGCAAAATTGCCTCCTTAAATGGAATAAGATGCTTTAGCATACCTGTCGTTCAATTAAGTACGCTTAAGACGTCATGGTGTGAATGATTACATCAGTTTGTTCCGTGAATTAGATTTATTATTGAATTGATAACTTGGATTTTCTATTAACAAATGCAATCTGTACATGGACATTCACCGAAACCGATTGAATCGCTTATTGTGGAGTATTTCGGTAGGTTCACTTAAGCTGCGAAGAGGCTGGTGTCAGTTTCCAGTGTACCCTCTTGATCCTATTTGTTTATTAACTTGACTTCATTACTATTACTGGAAATTTTTCACGTATGGTATGTTTTAGTTAGCTTAGAATATATATTGTTTACAGTGAATCCTCATCCCCAGTACTTTTATTCGGCTTTAATTTTTGAGCCAACTTCTGTTACATCTTTATTTAAATGAAGAGTCATAATAACTGAAATCCTGGTTGTTCAGGATAAGTGTTTAACAGACTGTTATACTCCTCACTAGAAAACACCACTTGCATGCCACAAACAACCCACATTATGCAACTAACTAATTTTATTCAAGTTTTAAGCACAAGCTGTTCTCATTCCAACTGAGTTTAAACATAGAACTTTGTACAGAAGTGCAGCAGTTTAACCCGCTTAATCCCATGTGGCGCAAAAGACGTAGATAAAAGACAGGAAGAAGAGATCCAAGCAAACTGTAGTAGATTAGATTTAGATTTTTAGATTTACAGCTTGATTCCACACGAAGGTGTGCAGGAGAAACAGTAATAACATGGAAAAATTAGACGGTTTGCTAGATATAAGAGATCACAAAAGGTGAATGAGTCCGCGCCATAACGATTTTGAGCCGTATTACAAGTAGTCTCCACCGGTTGATTCTTAGCATTCTGAGAATTCTAACTAAGCAGTCTACATCTCCCTATGTGAGAGTAAGTAATTGTTAAAGACTTCATGGAGTGATATCAGGTTTTGAAGTGACCACCACTAACTTCTTATGATGCCAACAGTTAATGGTCGGGAGCTCAGCGATATTGCCCGAAATTGTTCAGTATGATCAAGATAAAATTATTCTCTATATGTAGACCAAATATTTAAGGGCATCATTGTAACAAAACGTCTCTAAATTCTTTCCAAGTCAGTTGGTTCTATCAGAATCTAATTTTAAGCGTAACAGCAACATTTACCAAGATAGATTTCATATAATTATTCACACTAGAATACTTTAAGATCAGTCAATATTAGGATCTGCCACAGAGTACACTGACTCCAATGGCCATATTTGGAACAGCACACAAAACGGGGCTTGGCAGATTATATAGTATGGAATATACATAAAATGAAAAAGAAACAAATTTATCCTCAACATATTGCGGATCTTATTCAGAAGACAGCAGGCAATCTTATTCTATGTATGTCTTAAGTCGACATAATTTGTAGAGTTATTCGATAATCCAGAGAGTGGTGAATCGCCACGTCGCCACTGTTTCAAAGTAGTCATTAATTTGGGAAGTTGCATCAGACAACGCCAGCTGGTTGATCGCTGCAGAAATTTCAGCGCGGATACAGAAGGCTCGTCTCGTATATGCCAGTTTACGCCGTTTCTGGTGTAGACGTGATATCCGGCTATCGACCAAAGGACATGTGTACTGCTCAGCAGTCCACTCCGTCCTCCTTAATGGCTATGAGACCTGACCATTGAAAGTATAAGACATGAAAAGGCTAGCTGTCTTTGATCATAGGTGTCTGCGTTCTGTCTCCCGTGTGAAATAGAATAATAGGGTGAGCAGTATTGAGGTTAGGCACTGGTCGAGTGCTAGTTAAGATTGTGAAGTTACATCTATTCCAAGAGGTGGTTAGGACGTGTTACACATGAATGCCTAGCCATCGCCTTCTTCAACAATGGGCAATGTTAGCTGACATAGGATCAGGTTGGAAAAGAGCCCGTGGTAGTCAAACCAAAACATGGCACCAGTCAACGAAATCCACAACAGTTAGTTTAAGCCACGTAGGAAGCTGTAGACTTCCTGGTTGGGGTCTTCGGGACGGTCAAAACCAATGATGGCTGGAGACAATTATCGGTGATACGGCTCAGAATCATTGTCAATGACTGGTAAATATGCATCTACTCCTTGTGACTAACGATAAACGATGAAACTATATCGTTCTTCGATATTACTATTATTTTTGATTCATATCTCTGTTGACTGTATCTGTTTTGCATTGCTTTTTACTTTCTTCTCTTGATTTGTGTGCTAATTTAAGTGTGTCAACTCGAACTGCTGCATATCGGTGCAAAGTTCTACATTGTAACCAGTTAGTCACCTTAATGTTTCGATCAAAATATTGCCAAAATCAGAAACTTACCATTGTGTGTAAATAGCTATGCTTTTCATCTACGAGATGTGAAATATTTGGAGAATTACTTTTACCAAGACGTAGTCTGATTGAATGCAGAAATAATAATCTGCTGCCACTGTAACCTCCCTAGAGAGGTATCAGTAGCTACTGTTAGAAAGACATAGAGAAATCAGTGTATTTGACTATCTCCATTACCCTCTCAACTTAAGCGTGTGAACGAATACTTTTTTTAGTGAGTTCCACTTTTCGTTAGTATATCAGTTGTGAAATCGTCACCTTACTATCTATATCCAAGCTAATTTGATAATGATTCGGTGTTTGAAACAATAGGTGTTGGCTTCGAGTCTCAGTGGTCCCTATCTCTCACTAGAGATGCAGGCAGATACTAGATCTAATAAATCCGAACGTGCTTTTCTCAATGTTACCAATCTTCTTTCTGTACATTGCTGCTCATTATAGTTCTTTTGAATTTCCTTCTCCCCTATTTCCTATGCCCTTTGTGTGCTACGTGAAATACGACAACTTGAACTGCTACACTTCTGTGCTTTGTTTTGAAACTTGATCAGTCAGTTAAAGGATGAGTTTCGAATTGGATGAAATCCACACCTGGGATTTCACTGTTGACCGCCATCAACTAAATGACCTTATCATGTTAGTGCGAATAACGTTCATCTGTACGGTCAATCACCTATGGCAGGAACCTGTACCTGCGTTCACTCTTGCGAGTAAACCGCTTGAAGTTTTTATAAGTTTGTGCATCTGGGTAGTTGTGTGATTGCTGGCGGAGGGGTGACCGATGAGATTTCCAACCTTATAATGAGCCACCTCTGGCGCCGTCGTAACGTTAGCCTGACTGCCAAAGGTCGGGTATACAATGCTTCGGTGCGGACTGTCTTGCTCTACGCCTGTGAAACTTGGCCTCTCCGGGCTGAGGATGTGCGGCGACTCTGCGTGTTCGATCATCTCTGTTTCCGCAGGATTGCTTGCGTTCGATGGCGTCATCGCGTGAGTAATTCAGAGGTTCGACGGCGTGTGTTTGGACACAATGGAGATCACCATTGATTGAGTGTCGTCATCTGGAACCACCGGCTCCGGTGGCTTGGACATGTGCTGCGAATGTCATCCTAGAGGCTTCCGTCGGTTTGTCTGTCTGGCTTCCGTACAGGTGTCTGTTCGCTAGCCCTGGGACGGGATGGAAAAGTTGGAGGGGTGGTCAGTCCATGACGTGGCGTCGTGGGATGAAGGATGTTTGTGCTAGATTAGCATCGGTTGGTGCGTCACGAATCCCTGGTTGGGGTCCGAGAGATAGCTCGAATCGATGGCTCGAAACGTTATCGGATATGGCCAAGAATCACAGTCATCAATGGCGAACGTGTTGCAATTTCCTTCTTTCTTCCCTTCCCGATGATAGTTAACGAATACTGTTTCAACTTGTCTTGAAGTATGACTGTTTTCCTTCCAGATGAAGTTCTTTATCCGTTCTCTACTTATTTTTTTTAAACTTTTGATCTATGTTGTTTTAATATTATTGTGTGGCGCATCTTACTTGGTGCCGTATTGTGCCAAGTTTTTTCTGCGTTTAAATACATAATAAATAACAATTAACTATTACCTCGATGTTATTCTCTGCTCTAAACTCTTGAAATACTAATTCATGAAAAAATCTCATCACTTAGGGAAATCCCTTATTTATATCTGCATTTTGTATCACATACTATGTGACAATGTAACATCTCAACAACATCTGTTTTCTTCTCTCTTTTTCTTTTCTCAGCGAAAAATGCACAATGAGTACTACTCATTGTGTACCAATTGCTTCACAGTACAATCGTACCTGTCTTGGTAATCATTTGCCTTACAAACTAACAACTCCAATACCACTTGACGATGATGTGATTTTTTATGATCTTGAATTTTGGACTGCTCTGCAATCTATACCATCTTGTTGGGACAAGTTACAGGTAAGCTGTTTCATGGTATTATACTAAGACTAGTGAAGAGTTGTTCTTTTGAAGTTTTATTAATCTCAAATACTGCTGTCTTTCAATGTTTGTTTCCCCGTTAGAATAAAAATACTGAGAGTTTATTTACTTGTTAAAACTCCAACCTGACACATTGTGGGTACCAAGAAATCCGTCACACAAAATCCTATAAGTTACGCAAGGGCTGACATAATGCATCAACGCCCGAACCGAAGCAGGTAGTTGTCTTCAGAAGCCACTGTCAGGTCTGACTTGAGGCGTGATCCACAAGGTAGTGGAGCAAAGACAAAACTTATGTTCCCGTGATTGACGGTGATGAAAGCAGGTTCATTTGCCATTCAATCCTTTCGGATTCTGGAGCAGATGTACATCATATGCTTGGAATTAGGGTTTTCCAACTTTCCTGTGTAGACCTGCATATCTATTAGTCCGGTTGTAAGCCTCAGAAACTTGGTTTTACCATTTCACTCTTGTGAAGAACATTGCGATTGCATGGTGGCAGTCAGTAAAAGTTATCTGGCTAACAGAGGTTATGAACACGTGGCCTCATCGGGGGGCATTTCGAGAGTTTGGCCGCTGTCTTCCTATCCTCGATCGTCGCAGGTCGTTTATATGAGGTGTAAGACCGATAATTCAAAGTTATCTGTTTTGTGATAACTAGCGTTTAGTTCCAGGACGCACGTTTCGTCGTAATTGTTCCCCATTGAGTGGTAGTGTTCCTACCATCGCTTCAAACATCAAAGCATTATCCTTCTAAGGCACTTCTTGTACAACAGTTGTGATTCGAAATGATTTATTCACACTTGGAGTGTAACTTAATTGAATAAGCAAACAGAGTCGATTTGTAAAGGTAAGAGATTATATGAGAACATCTTAATAAAATGCAATATCTACTTAATTTGATATGCGTATTCATCCGTTTTCTTTTTTCTTTTCTTTTTTGATGGTTGTGTAATGGTGTAATGGACGTATTACAGTTTTTCCTGTGCTCAGTTTATGTTCCTGAATGTGTTGTTAGCGTACACCAAACTACAAAAGCATACGATAATAGACATTTATCAAATATTGAAGCTGATAAGAAGAATTCACCTGAATTAGTGAATCAATCTTCAATTGATAGGAAATTCAATGAGATATTGGGAACTAACACTACATCGTCCTCTCCTTCCTCTTCCTCTTCAGCATCCTCATCATCATCGCCATCGCCATCGTCGTCGTCTTCTTCTTCTTCATTAACTTCTTATCGAGTTGTTTTACCAGAAGCGGAAATGTGTGAAGCTGTACACAAGGCCTGTCCGCTTTTATTTTCAATTATTCAATCAATGGATACCAGTGGTAATCATCATCATCATAATAATAAAAGAGGAATCAATAACATTGATTTTGCTGGTGATGACAGCAGCAGCAGCAGCAATAACAGGCGGTGGAGGAGTAGTAGTGACAAAACCAACGACAACAACAACAACAACAATGATGGTAGAGTTGGTCATAGTCTCGATAACAAACGTTCATATTCTTATCCGAAATTTTTTGACTGTTCCTTATATACACCAGGATGTCGACAAGTAAGTACTATTTGTTGTTCCACTCTGTGTTTACATTCGTGTTCATTTGATGATGATAAATGTTAGAGTTGTATAAGCAATCGGGTCCCAGTGGCTTAATGGTATACGAGCTCGCCTTGTAACCGGAATGTCCTGGGTTCGAATCCGGGACCAGAGCCCGTTTCAGTAAAACAATAAAAGTTTTTTTTTAGACGTTTCATCACGAACTGATTAAAGAAAAAAGAAACCATTAGAAAACCAAGGAGTATTGGATAGCTGTGTTTCATCCGACTGTGAGACTCTTCATCTGGCAGTTACGCTGTGAGTCGCGGATTGACCATCAAATTGGTTCCCAGTGGCTGCATCTATATGTCTGTCTGTTTACGACATAGAACTTTGCACATATGTGCACCAGTTCAAATCGAGACCCTCCCTCCTTGTAGCACACAAAGCCACAGAAAAAAGTACAAGAAAAGCATAATAGAGACTGTAAACAGAGGTGTGAGACAAAAGGAGTAGTAATAACAAAGGACAATATAGTTTAATTGGAAATCATAAGTCACAGGGAGTGGATGCATCTGCATAAAGCCATTGACAACAATTTTGAGCCATATCACCAATTGTTTCCAACCATTTGTTTTTACCGTCCCGAGGACCCCAACCAGGAAGTCTACACCTTCCTACGTGGTTTAAACTAACTGTTGTAGATTTCATTGACTGGTGCTGCCAAGTTTTTGGTTTGACCATCAGTAGCTAACTCTTTTCCAACCTGATCCTTTGTCGTATGTCAGCTAACATTACCTATTGTCGAGGAAGGCGATGACTAGGCATACGTAACACATGTCCTAACCATCTCAGTCGGTATAACTTCACAGCCTCGTCGATTGATTTCCCTCCTTACCAAGCACTCGACGCCTAACCTCGATATTGCTCATCTTATTATACCACTTCACACGGGAGATAGAGCGCAGGCACAAATGATCAAAGACAGCTAATCTCTTCATGTCTTCCACTCTCAATGGCTAGGTTTCACAGCCATAAAGGAAAACGGAGCGGACTGATGAGCAGTACACCCGCCCTTTGATCGACAGCCGGATATCACATCTACGCCAGAGATGGCGTAAACTGGCATAGACGAAACTAGCCTTCTGTATCCGTGCTGATATTTCGTCAGAGATCAACCCGTTGGCGTTGGCTGATGGTACTTCCAAAATAAGTGAAGCGGTCAACGTGCTTTACCACTTCACTCCCTATTTCTAAGCTAGGAGTCAGTGTAGTCCAGTCCTGTGACATCATCTAGCATTTGGCGGGAGCGAATCGCATTCCAAACATTCGTAGATTGCAGCTCAAGGTGTTCAAAAGGCTGAATGGTCTATGAATTCGCTAGCCTTGTAACCGAAAGGTCTTTGGTTTGAATGCCGGTGGGTGTGTACTTCTGATGAGTCCAAAACTTAGGATAAGACGGTTGACTAGTACTCCCTTGTGGTCTTCCAATGGTTCTCGAACTGATGTCAACTTGTGGTTAAATCAAATCCCTGGAAACCTACACTTGAAGAAGCTCTGAGTTCAATATAGCTATATTGTTAAGAAATAAGGTTTTTCAGTCCTTTAGACTTCCAACTTTCAATTAAATGTATCACTGGTTTGCATTCCACTTCACTCTATTATGTATGCCGAGACACATTGCCTTACTCGACGAGCGAATTAGGGTGGAAAAGACTCAGAAGTGGTTAAATATGAAATATATGGTTAAATATCGAAAATGTGGAATTGGTCTATGAGAAATCTTTAACAGTTATTTTGAGCCAGCCACCTTAGGGAGAGGTGTAAACTGTTTGTCTTCATTGGATATTAATAACTAGTGCGGCGTGTCTAGCCCTTTCTTTGGTGCAAACTGAATTCTGTCAGTCAGCTTTGCAATGTGACCACCATTCTAGGTAGCTCGCCATCACGGTGCACTTTGATTTGATGATATTAGATAGTTGGAGGCAATCGGCCACAGGAAGCCTTGGACCTAGGTTTCGTGCTAGTTGACACTCACCAGTCAGTCAGCAAGTCGTATCTACAACCACCTTGAAAGAACTCATGTCCCTTCTGAGGGGTTCGAACCCGCGTCACCTAGTGTGTACTGCAGTCAGAGACGTTACCACTGAGCTATTCGGGCTCGCGATTGACCTCCTTTAGGACTGTAGTGGTTATTTTCATTGGACACTAGAATTCAGTCTGCACCAACGAAAGGACAAGACACGTCGCACTAGTTACTAGTGTCCAATCAAAGTATCCAATACAGTCATACAGGAGGTCAATCACGAGCCCGGATAGCTAGCTCAGTGGTGACGTCTCTGGCTTCAGCACTAGCTGGCGATGCGGGTTCGAACCTCAGAAGGGACATGAGTTTCTTGAAGGCAGTTGCAGATACGCCTTGCTGACTGACTGGTGAGTGCCAACTAGCACGAAACCTAGTTCCAAGGCTTCCTGTGGCCGATTGCCTCCAACTATTCAAACTTTGTCTGTTTGGGGTCTTCAGGAAATTAAGAACCAAATGACTTGAGACTATTGATTTCCAATGACTCAGGTGCTATCACTCTTCGTAATCTCTCAAATCCATTAAACTCTCTTTCCACCATACACTTCTGGTCTCTAGTTAACATCATCATCATCCTTCACGTGAAGAGAGTGGCTGATGGTTGACTGACTGACTGTCCGACTGGTGAAGTCATCATAGAACTTTGTATACAAAACTTCATCAGTTCAGCTCCAAGACCAACCGACTTCTGATCAGCCACTTGCGTGAATTGATAACACCATGAATCAAATTCACAATTTGCAAATTATTCTGCAATACAAAATTTTGACTACAGATTCGTATCAGTTAGAGAACCATTAAAAACCAGCCTTAGGGACTACTGGACAGCCAGTTGTTTCATCCTAGTTTTTTGGGAATCCTTGGCAGAACGCACCCACCAACAGGGTTTCGAACCCAGGACCTTCTGGTTACAAGACAAGCTCGTCAATCACTCAGCCGCTGGGACTCGATTCAGTGGCCATCGCATGAATTCTAACTTCTACCAATTCGTGATGCACTTAGTGCGACCATCAACCGATGTCATCGGTGGGGAAATCCATCCTCACACTTGACATTTGGATGGACCTCACTGATGACGACTTCTTACTAGAACTCCATGGGCCATTGAATCAGGTGCCAGTGGCTGAATGATATACGAGCTCGTTGGACTTGTAACCGGAAGGTCCTGAGTCTGAACCCTATTGGTGAGTGCTTACTGCCGGTGATTCCCAAACTAGGACGACACGGCTGGCTGTCCAGTACTCCCGACTGGTTCTCCAATAGTTCTCTAACTGATATCAATCGGTGGTCAAGCTCGAAAGAAAAACTTTAATCCTTATAAGTCAATTCTTGAAAATACAAAAGTCACTTTGTTAGCTTTTCATTATAATAAAGGTTTTTTTGTATTTCCCAATGAAGGGAAAACAATACGGTATTGTTTTTACTGATGTTTCGCTATTTAATGCTAATAGCCTAATCAAAGTAGTATTAAACCGGTATTTACAAAATCTCAGCATATATATATAACAAAGAGTTAAGGGGTGAGAAAATAGACTACTTAGGTCAAGTTAAAGAGACGTATAGAAACTGGGAATAGTAATGAAGATCACTAAACCAAATATCAAAGGTAATAGTATATCTATAGTATATCTGTTATTATATCAAAACAAAGTTTACCAACTTGATCATCGTTCGTCTGCCTGGGGTCGTTTTTTGTTGTCAAGTTGGTGAATTGGTAAAGATAACAAAATCAAGTGTAGATTGTTAGATTTTATCAGTTTGTAAAATTATGAAAGAGGCCTGTGTTTACATAGTGAACTTGCTTATCACATTTTGTCACTTCGTTGGGGAGGGGAGGAAGGTGTTGTAACCAGGTCAGATTCTGTTTTAGTCCATCATTCCTATTCAGGCAATTTGGATTCCACTTGATATGAAGTGCTTCTGATATTAGACGTTCTTTGTGGTTTCTGAAGTTTTTCTGGATTATTTCAATATTGTCAAAATCAATTTTGTGGCCTGATTCTATAGCATGTAGACAAGCTATGGCTGATGATTTTTCAAGTTTTTCTAGTTCAATTGGATTTCTTGGTGGTCGAAGAGATGCTCTACGGTGTTCATTTCTTCTGATTTTGATTTCTCGAGATGTTTGTCCGATGTAGATCGCATCACATTCCAAGCATTTTATTTTATAGACACAACTAGATAGAGAATCTTTAGGGATTTGGTCTTTTATATGGATAAGGTTGCTTTGTAGTGTGTGTCTGATGTTTTGAAGAAAACTCTAGTGTCGAGCTGATTGAGTACTCTTCTGATATCGTCAGACGTCTCTGCTCTATGTGGAATGACGATTGTTGAGGCCCATGTTTTCGGAATGCGTTTTTCGGCCATACTTAATGTCAGTGTTGATTTTGTTGATGAAGTTCCTTGGGGTAGTTGTTTTGCTTGAGAGTTTCAATAATGTTTGATATTTCTTCTTCTTTTTCTTTCTCATCCGTTAACATCAGAGAGTGTGCTCGTCTAAGAAGAGTTGAAACAACTGAAATTTTTGCGCTGATGGGGTGTGATGATTTGAATATCGTTTTGTTTTTCATTCATTGGGAAATACAAAAAATCTTAAAATGAATATCATATACCCAATGTCCAAATTTTTTCAAACTGTTAAGAGTGAACTTGGTTTGGACATATATAGTTTGTTAGCTTCTGTTGAAAATGTGTAGGTCTCGTGTGTGAAGAAGGTACATTGACCTAGCCGTTTTGACTGTATGAATAATGCACTTACTTCAAAGTGCTTATTGTGTTAGTCGTCATTATTAATATTATTATTATTACCTTTTCACAAGATGGAGGTGATTTATTTACCTGTTTATGTTTATTTATTAAAAAAAAGAATATTGTTTTAGACAACCATTTTGTTTGTTTGACGTTGTCTAGACTGGAAGCCCCACAAAGCCCCACATAGGCACACACACACACACACGCAAAATCACAAACATGTGTTTAACTGACGTTTCGGTCTGCTATTCACTTGACACACACGCACACCCACACACAGTCAACGTCCTTTTTCTTTTCTCCAGAGTGTAAAAAGTCATAAATAACACCTTCACGTGAAAAGACAGTTTTTCTTCTCTCCTCTAACTAATCGACCAGTTGATGTGATGATAAAAATTCTAAGATTTGAAGGTTAAGTTCTATGGTGGGTACCTAACGTAAAATTATTCACATCTCATTGACCTTTTTTATTACAAAGAGGGATTATAAAGGGACGGATTAGGTTGAAGAAAGGTTACGCGGGGAATGGGGGGTGGTCAAATCTAGGCATGGAATCAATAACGATAATAATAGTAATAGGTTCAATATATGTTTAAAAATTGGACACTGTGGTAGTACGTAATTCCATATTGATTTGTTTATTAGGTATATCACACATACAGTGAAACCGTATTGTTTACTAGATGACACAGTTTCAAATACAATCTAGTATTGTTCATAATCATTTCATCAACTATAATCACACAACTTCGAAACTTCCGTTGTGTAGTTTTCGTTATTCTTTCCTTATTCGTCGTCGAAGGGGCAGTAGAATTTCCGAGATGTCTGGGACACATCAGCTCTAAGGTAGAGGCAATTCAATTCACTTATGAAATTGGAAAGTCAGGAAGGGGAGCTTTCAATGTTGGATTGTAGTGTAAAATGGAAAGAAGATGGGAAGTCAAGCAGTAGTTTTTACAGAGGACCCACACATTCAAACCGAAATTTGGACTTCTGATCATCCCATTCTATGTCAGTAAAAATGGGATTGGTGAAATGTTCAAGTAATTGGGCACAAAAACTAAATAGTATCAAAGAAAATTGAAGAAAGGAGGTGAGGCATATGAGAGAAGTTGTCTCCAGCCTTCATTGGTTTTTACCGTCCCGAGGACCCCAACGAGGAAGTCTGCACCTTGCTACGTGGATTTCATTGACTGATGAAGCCATGTTTTTGGTTTGACCACCACTGTCTCTTTTCCAACCTGATCTTATGTCAGCTAACATTGCCCATTGTCGAGGAAGACGATTGCTAGATATGCATGCGAAACACATGTCCTAACCACCTCTCACAATCGGTATAACTTCACAACCTCGTTGATTGATTTCGCCTTCCAAATACCTAGCACTCGACACCTCACCTCACCCATTATACCCCTTCACACGGGAGATAGGACGCAGGCATCTATGATCAAAGGCAGGTAGCCTTTTCATATCTTCCGTTTTCAATGGCCACACCTTACAGCCATAATGGAGGGCTGAGGGGACTGCAGGGCAGTACACGCACCCTTTGGTCGATAGCCAGCTGGATATCACGTCTGCTAAGCCAGAGACTCTGTGAACTGGTATATGCGTGTTATGTACTCGTCGAGTAGTTAATAGTCCTGACGCGGAAAGAGGGAATCAGAAGACCACCAGGTTTACGATGATACTTGTATTTTCCAGACAAGGAAATTTAACTGTCACACAAGTGTGTGAGTGAAATGGTAAGTAGTGTACGAAAACGTGGGACCAAGTGTACAGTACAAAAGTATGTGTGAAAATCGCCAATACACATGAACCAATAAGATAACGTCTTACCATGACTGGTTGTAATGTCATGTGACAACAGGGTCATACATGTTTATTTAGTTAGTGGACAGACAAAAGCATATTGTGAGTTATAATGAAATATCGATCCATATAAACATAGCAAAATATGATAGACTGTCAAAACAAAACACACATCATGTGGATACATATCAATGCGAAACCGGCTTTCTGTATCCGGTTTATAATTTACTGTTACACAAGTTTAAGATACCTTTTCTTTGTTTTTTTGTTTTTGAGATCTTATTATTTCATGGACAGAATAACTTTTGTGCTACTTATCGTATGTTGTTATTATACTTATTCACATTTCTATTGCTTACCGCTTTTTAATTAATTTTTAAAAGAACAAATTGACTGCTCGGTTGTTTCAAAGTAATGGAGGCGGTTGTCAATCTCCACTTGTCACTACATCGTTAAGAAGAAATTGGTAAGTAATTGTTTTGATTTTTTCGCAGAGTTGTTTTTTTTCAAGTGTTGATTTGTAGGGATTTGATTGATTGGTTACAGGATTTCATCATGAGCTGACATGGTTGGAGAACCATAGAAAACCACCTGAGAGTACTGGACAGCCAACTGTTTCGTCCTAGTGCCTGGGAATCTTTATCAGTACTCACCCACCGGTATCCCAACCCAGGACATTCTGGTTACAAGGCTAGCGAGCTCGTAGACCATTAAGCCATTGGATCGCCTCCCAGTGGCTTGTAATCAGAATGTCCGGGCTCGAACCCAGTTGGGGTGGGTGCGTAATGACGAAGTGTTGCATACTAGGACGAAACAGCTATCCAGTACTCCAGGTTTTCAATGGTTCTCTAACTAATATCAGCTCATGATGAAAACCTTGTTTTTTTTTGACTATTCTGTAACTATGTCTTCATATTCAAGTCTTCAAGAGTTATGAATTATGCTATAATGCATTGATGGTTCAATACGGCAATACTTCTCTTCACGTGGTCCAGGGTTCGAATCCCCACTGACGTACTCATAAACCTCGCTTAGTTTACTGGTTGATAATAAGACTGGAAAAGAGAGAAGGTTGGGAGTGTGAGGCTATCAAAACACTAGACCTTAACGAAAACTGTTACTCGGAACACAGAAGAATGAAGATGAAGTTATGATATGAGTGTGTGTGTGTGTGTGTGTGTGTAATCAATGCCTTGGAATGATTTGGTTGAATACGACATACTACATAGATACAAGAGTGAGACAAGGAAGGCTGCCGCCTATTATCACCCACGATAATATTCTTAATTGTGGTGAATGACTGGATTATGCGTCAAACTGTGCACAGGGAGTGAGGAGTCAGGAATACGCTGGATCACCGATAAGAAGACTCTAGAAGATCTGGATTTCGCAGATGGGTTATGTCTCTAATATCACACAAACTCGAAGACTTGCAGGCGAAAACCAAGAGACTGGCTGAAGAGGCAGTTAAGACAGGACTTCAGGCAATCAACATATAGAAGGTGGAGGTGATGAAAATAACCAACAAACCGCAACGACAACAACAACAACCAGCACCAATCACCATCAAAGGGAGAGATTTAACAGAGGTTACCTCCTTCACTTATCTGGGAAGCATCGTTTCAACTACAGGCAGTCAGTCGGAACAGAGGAAGATGTCAAAGTGAGAATCGGAAAGGTGAGATACGCCTTCATCAATTGGAAACCCGGTTTAGAAATCTTCTACACTCAGCAGAAGAAATAAGATTCGGATTTTCAACACCACTGTGAAGTTGGTTCTTCTGTGCGGGTCAGAAACTTGCACTGTGTGTAACGAAAAGGATTTTCAACAGTCAGTTGCAGACTTCCATCAACAGCTGCCACCTTCGCTGGCTGACTCCATACTGAAGATCAAATGGTCAGAAAGAATTAGCAACCAGGAAATCTGTCTGGGAACAAACCAACCAAGAATCGGGCACTCAACAAATATGCAGGAGAAAATGGAGATGTATCGGCTTACATTGAGTAGGGCGCCGAATGACATCGCACGCTAAGCTCTCGAGTGGAATCCCATTGGGAAGCGACTAGTGGATCCTCAGTGCGAGGGTGAAATGGAGGTAATCGTGCGAGTTGGAGGAGATGAGAAGATTATGGGCAATCGTGAACCCAGATGAAGAAGACCACAGAATATAGAACAAAGTAGAGTTGTGTTGTTAAATAAAGCCTTATGTCCCGCTTGGAACCCAAGGGAACAATCATGATGATAATAATAAAGTAGGTGGTTGGGTGGGGTGGTGTGCGTAATGCTTAATTTTTTAAGTGTAATTTGTCTGTTGAACATGAAAATTTAGGTGATTAGTGTGAACACCTTGAATTTCAGTTAAAAGATTCCCGGTTCGAAATCCTCTCTGCTTATCTCAGTGGTATGGAGCATATATATTATATGTGTGGCTTATAGACTGGCAGTTGAGTTTCTAACTAACAAACAAGAAAATGATGAGTTTGTGACCACTAATTCTGAATAAGTATATCAATTATGTCACCCATCCAATCCTCAATAATAGACTACTATACGTAGATATAAATAAGATTATATGATCTTTAAAAATGTGGATTCAATGAGTGTTATAAATTTTTGGTAAACCATAAAGATTTAATTTAATTTGATTACAGCTTGATTCCACACTGTATTTTTGGTACAAGTATGGAATTTTCAGCGTGGATATCGGTAGCCCAAATTTTGCAGGCCGACCATTTATATCAGGTGTGCGTCGGCGAGGGCTCGAACCCCGGACCATGTGCGCATGGTCGGCGAGAGTCCTAACCACTGTGCCACCGACGCACAGTGAAATCGTTAATCTGTTATTATTATTCCCTTGAGTTCCGAGTGGAACATAAGGTGTCAAATATTCAGATCTCTAAGATCCTGGATCTACCACTGGTTTCAGAAGAACAAGCCCAATGTGTAGAACACTATGCATTGTAACTGACGCAGAACAACAGAAAACGGTTAGGCAACACAACTGCTTATTCTTCAAGCGATCACGAAACAGATTTACAGTGGTCAATCAGTTCTAAAGTTTCTGATCATATTTCTCTAATCTTTTGCCAACCAGTACACAATTAAGGGATAATAGCCTTCTTGTCTCCAGCCAAATGGGGAGACCAGTTCGAACAAACAAGCAATTCAGTGTTCACCAACATTGACATAGGGCTTCAACAACAAATCTCTACTTTGTTCTATTTTCTGCCGTCCCCTTCAGCTGGGTCCACGATTGCCCAAAATCTTTCATTTCCTTCTCACCACACAATTACCTCCATGGCCCGACCAAAAACTGCTACCTTGACGTGGTGGTCGGGCTTGAACACCGCAATGACCTAATCAAGCTATACTGGCTGAGACTTATATCTCTTGAGGTTCTACCATGCCAGGCAGGTTGTTTGGATAGCGGTTAAAACAAAAAGCAGCTACCCAACCCACCATTATGATACAAACAAAATTACAAAATTTCATGCCAGATCGGCCGTGGCCCGAATTAACAACGTACGCGCTTCCTGCTGCCGTGTCACAGGGTAGGAGTGATAAATATGCTACTGAGACACACCAAAGGGCGGTGTACTGCTCATCAGTCTGCTCCGTCCTCCTTTATGGTTGTGAGCGAGACCTGACCACTGAGAGTGGAAGACATGAAAAGATTAGCTGTCTTTGATCATAGGTGCCTGCGTTCTATCTCCCGTGTGAAGTGGCATAATAAGGTGAGCAATATTGAGGTTAGGCGTCGAGTTCTAGGTAAACAGGGGAAATTAATCGACGAAGTTGTGAAGTCACAAAGACTGAGATGGTTAGGACATGTGTTACATATGCATGCCTAGTCATCGCCTTCCTCGACAACTGGCAATGTTAGCGGATACAGGGTCAGGCTGGAAAAGAGCTAGTGGAGGTCAAACGAAAACATGGCTTCATCAGTCAATGAAATCTACAACAGTTAGTCTAAGCCATGTAGGAAGGTGTAGACTTCCAAGCTGGGGTCCTCGGGACGGTAAAAATCAATGGTTGGAAACAATTGGTGATATGGCTCAAACTCATCGTTGTCAATGGCTTTATGCAGATGCATCCACTCCCTGTGACTTATGATTTCCAATGAAACTGTTTTGTTCTTCGTTACTACTATTCCTTTGTCTCACACCTCTGTTTACTGTCTCTATTATGCATTTCTTGTACTTTCTTCTGTTGCTTTGTGTGCTACAAGGAGGGAGTGTGGCGACTTGAACTGGTGCACATTTGTGCAAAGTTCTATGTCGGAAACAGACAGACAGACAGATGTCATCCTCTCACTGACGACCCACTAGTTGCTCTCCAATGGCATTCCATTCGAGCGATGGCCTGCCGATGGTGCGATGTTATTTGGTGGTCTCCTCATCGTATGCCCGATCTATCTTCATTTTCTACGTATCCACTTGTTGAGCAGTCGGCTCTTGGTTGGTTTGTTGCCACTTGGAGTTTCATGTTGCTAGTTCCTTCTGGTTATTTGATCTTCATTCAGTATGGAGTTAGCCAACGAAGGTGGCAGCTGTTGACAAAAGTCTTCAACCTGTTGGAATCTTGGATATATGAAGGCTTTATTCTCTTTCTCACTCTCAAAAATCTCAACACTGATTACTGAGTGTTTTTCTCATTTTTAAGAGAATTTTCGTCCACCGCTTTTCTCACACCAACTGGTTTTGTGAATTTTGTGTTATCACTTAAAAATTGTTGATATTTCTTTGTATATATGTTTAGCCTAATTTGTTCGTTGGTGTGTGTGTGTGTATAGCCTAGCCAGAAATCGATGATATTTCAAGATTGATCATGGACTGACTTCAGTTAGACAGGCATATAAAGTGAACGCGTTAATCATTGAGCTACTAGGACGGAATCCAATAGTCCAATAATTCTAACTTCTACTAGACCTATGTGTTATGGATGCCTAGTCATCGCCTTTCCTGATGGCCAATTTTAGTTGACATAGGATCAGGCTGGAAAAAGAACTAGTGGTGGTCAAACCAGAATTTGGAATCAGTCCACGAAATCTTCAACAGGTAGTTTGAGCCAACCAAATAAGAAGGTGTGGGCTTCCTGATTGGGTCCCTGGGACGGTAATAAACAATGCGGACTGCAGACAATTCGTGTGATGACTTTGAATCGTTCTTAATGGCTGCTGTAGATGCATTCACTCTTTATGAATTGTCATATCTTTTAAACTGCCATGTTTTTTCCAAGTTACTAGTCTTTCTTTCACCCTCACATTTCTGCTGTTTTTCTGTCCTTTGTCTTCCTTTGTGTGCTGCATGGAGTGTTTAGCAGCTTGAACTAGTGCACTTCCGTTCAGTGTACTATGTTAAAATCAGTTAACCAGTCTGTCAATCCGCGATATATAGCGTGACCTCTAGCCAGTGTCTTGGCCAAATTGATGGCATCCGCTTAGTTAACGGTATATGAGTTTGTCTTATAACCTAAAGGTCTTAGGTTTGATCTTTGGTGGTCTTATGGGTGCGTACTTCTCAAGAGTTGGAAACAGGTGACGGAATATTCGGTACTCACCGGTCATAATGGTTCTCTAACTGAGCAATCTTAAAATTTATCCTTTGAATGTTTCCATTTTAGACACTAGCCGAGAATCTTCAGTAAATCGTAAAGACTATTCATGACTGTTTAAAATTTAAAAAATACAATGGGAGTCAATCAGTTTGCTTTATAAACCTTGACAGAACTAGAAGTTGATGTGTATTACTCCAGTAGTATATAACAGTAACGCCTGCCTACACTAAGTTCACTGTCTGTTTATACTTTATTCTAGTGACTCACTGACTGACTGGTATCAACGTAGAAGTGCACTAGTTCAACTCGCCACACTCCATGTCGCACACAAAACAGAGGAAGAGAGTAAATAGAGATTCAAAAGAGAGAGTGAATGTATATCTGCATCAGCCATTGAGAACGATTTCCAGCCACATCCGCACTTGTCTCCAACCACTGGTTTTTACCATCTTGAGGACCCAAACCAGTCAAGTAATCTACACCTCCCCACGTGACTGTCTTAAACGAACTGTTGTGGACTTCGTTGACTGATGAGGCTCTTTGGCTTGATCGCCACCAACTCACTCTTTTCCAACTTGATCTATCCTATGTTAGCTAACATTTCCCGTTGTCGACGGGGGGGGGCATCTATGACTAGACATGTATGAGCAACACATCTTCTAACCATCTCTCTTGATTGGTGTAACTTCACAGCCCCGTCGATTGATTTTCCCTCCCACTTACCTAGCACTCACCGCCCAAACACCTCAGTACTACTCACTTTATTATACCACCTAACACGGGAAACATCTGTGATCAAAGACAGCTTGCTGGCCTTTTTGCATGTTCCACTTTCAATGGCCATGTCTCACAGCCGTAGAGGGGAGGGGAGGAGGAGGAGGACGGAGTAAACTGCTGAGCAGTACTTACGTCCTGTAGTCGACAGTTGTATATCACGTCAACTGAGCCAGAGATGGAGTAAGTTGGCGGGTATATGCCAAGCGAGCCTTCTGTATCTGTGCTAAGATTTCGTCAGCGATCAACCTGCTGACGTTGGCTGATGCAACTCCCCAAATAAGTGAGTGAAGTGGTCAACACGCTCCACCAACCACTTCACTCCTATCAATCACTCCTCTAGCCTCATCATCTTACATTTGACAGTAAGAGGGAATCGCATGGCAAACATTCGAAGATTACTCCTCCACCAGATGTTCATACGACTCCGTATTTTATAAGTATTTTTACTTAAAAGGACTAGGCGATCCTTACGTTCTATTGTAGTGTTTATTTAGTGCAACTGTGAGTATCAAAATAGAATATTATGATAAGAAAAGAGTTGTATGGTGTTCAAGTTCTATTAACTTTTTCTTTTCCTTTGCGTTATTTTAATCGTTACGCAACAAATATCACAGATCTTTTGCATATTCTTACGAATTCCTCTTATTATTATTATTTTTCCTTCTGCCATTATCATCATCAATTTATAGGATACCTGGTATAGAACGATGCAGTTTTCCATGTCGACGGCCTTACTTTGATCCAGAGCATTATAAACTGGCTAGATGGATTACAGGTTGTGCTGCTATTGTTTGTCTATGCACTAATATCTTGACATTGGTAAGTGTTGTAAAAAAAAGGTATTTTTATCATTTCACACATTTCCCCCACCCCCACTCCCCGCCTGCTTAGATCACAAAATAAAGCTTGACAGGGTTCTGCTTCTTTGGAGTAAGATATGATTATGTAGTATAGTGGAGCAAACCATGCTATTAACACACTCTTGTATGCGATGATTATCAATGTGAATCTTTCATTATGGGTAAATTTTGTTTTGATAAAGTCTCCCAGTGTGTTATACAGTAAGTAATGTTTACTGATGACGTTTCGAGCACAATTTATTGCCACTCATAATCATATCAAAGTAATCACACGACTTCCTAACTTCATTTATATAGTTCCATTGTTTTATCATCGCTTGATTTGATTGGTAGTAGTATTTTCCATATTTCGGGTATGAGTGATGAATCATTTCTATTGAATGTGTTGGGTGTAGAACTCTATGAACAAGGATTCAGTAATCAACCTATCTCTCCACCTATTTAGATTACTTTTTAGAATTTTAACCTTCTCCGGCCACCCTATTGTGTGGTTGTGTGTTAATGCATGTTGTGCAATTGCTGAGCTTTTTTCCAAATTACTTATCTTCTCGGGTCAACCATTCTTACCTCAGCTAAATTCTTATGTTCTGATAATCTGACTATCCCTGACCTACTAGTTTGACCTATGTAGTTTTTATTTTTTTAAATTTGTTTTTGATTACAGCTTGATTCCACACTGTATTTTTGGTACAAGTATGGAATTTTCAGCATGTGATATCAGTAGCCCAAATTTTGCAGGCCGACCATAGATATCAAGTGTTCGTTGTCCGAGGATCGAACCTCGGAACATGTGCATGGTCGGCGAGAGCCCTAACCACTGTGCCACCGACGCAGTTGACCTCACAGTCATTGCAGAGTATTTTGTAAACTATATTATTTTGTCTAATTGGATCAACTAGGTCCTTTAACCTACAGAGCTTGTCCCTGAGTGAGTTTGTAGGTTTAAATGCCACCCTACAATCTACACCCAACAAATTCAATAGAAATGATTCATCACTCATACCCAAAATATGGAAAATACTACTACCAATCAAATCAAGCGATGAAAAACAATGGAACTATATAAATGAAGTTAGGATGTCGTGTGATTACCTTGATATGATTGTGAGTGGCAATAAATTGTGCTCGAAACATGGTCATCAGTAAACATTACTTACTGTATATAACACACTGTGAGACTTTATCAAAACAAAAATTTACCCATAATGGAATTACACTCTACCACAGTGCAGAAGTTTTATTCTTATATCAATGTGAATGTTTGCCTACTTACAGTCAGTGTTCTGTATCTTTCTGAGTGTGAGAATAGTATTATTCCGTTATCAATTATGTTTTGTGTATTAAAGTAGTCCAGCGAAAATATTCATTCAGACAAAATTACAAAAATTCGTGCGAAGAATATCCTTTTCGATGTTAATTTCCTCTTCTGGCCTATACGAGCTCACCTTGTCACTAGAAGGTCATGAGTTTGAACCCCTGTGGTGGATGCGTCTTGTTCAAGAGCCGCAAACTAGGCTGACGAAATAGCTCTAATTGTCCAGTTGTCTCTGTGGCTAATTTTCCAATGGTTCTCTAACCAAATGTCAGCTCTTGGTGAAATCCTCCAACCAATTAAATAAAATATCTACAAACGAATACTTGTAAATTATATATATATATATATATATATAATAATAATAATAATTTGCTTTTCAAGTGTTGGTTTGTAGGGATTTGATTGGTTTCAGGATTTCATCACGAGCTGACATTAGTTAGAGAACAATGTGCATTAACACTAAAAAATCAAAAGAAAACAAAATCAAACTTAACAAAATCGGAAAGGGAAGCTTTAATTAGTCTTAAACAGGATAAAAACATTGTCATCGCAAAAGCTGACAAAGGAAACGCCACCGTAGTATTGGATAAATCTGACTACATCAAAAAAGTTACTGAACATATTCAAACGGGTCCATATGAGGAAATTAAGAAGCCTGTAGATACAATAATGAATAAGGTTAAGAAATCTACAGCGGAACTAATACGCAGAATGAAGCCATCCCTGGGTGAGTCTAAATGGTTTAATTTAATGCCTAAAACTAATAATGCTAGTAGAATATATGGTACTATAAAAATACATAAGCCAGGTTACCCCATAAGACCAATAGTAGATTTTAGAAATACCCCCACGTATGAATTATCAAAACACTTAGCTCTAATACTATGCCCCATTAGAAATCGTTCAAACTCTAGATTAACTAATTCATATGAGATGAAAAATAAAATAAATGACATTCAACTAGCGAATGATGAAACAATGGTTAGTTTTGATATAACTAGTCTTTATACTAATATACCAGTTAATATGGCCTTAGAAGCAGTTAAAAAAGAATTAACTGCGGATCCGGAACTCAGTCATAGGACAAAGCTGTCCATTGAAGAAATTATTTTAGGAATTCAGTTATGCCTCACATCTACTATCTTTAAGTTCCAAGGCAAAATATATAGACAAACAGAAGGTGTAGCAATGGGATCACCAATATCCCCTATCGTAGCAGACATATTTATGGACAGCTGGGAAAATAGTGCCCTCAATACATTTAACCCTACTCCGAAAATATGGTGGAGATATGTGGATGACACTTTCACAGTGTTAAAAACAGAACACATCTCTAGCTTCTTGACACATATAAACTCACAAGTTGAGGGAATAAAATTCACATTTGAATCAGAAAATGAACAAGGAGAATTAGCTATGTTAGATTGTAAGATAAAAAGAATAGAAGAAGGCAAACTACACACTAGTGTTTATAGAAAACCAACGCATTCTAATAGATATTTAGACTTTAATTCGTCTCATCCTTTAACTGTTAAGGCAGGCTTAGTTAAATGTTTAACAAACCGAGCAGTGGCACTAAGTAGCACAAAAAAAGATCTAAATGATGAATTAAAACAGATAGAAGAAGCGTTGGTGTTGAATAACTATCCTATAAAATTCATTAGGAAGATCACTAAAGGCCAAAAACAAAATAAAAATAATTGTGAAACTAGTAATAATAACATAAATAAGAAAGAATATAAGTCATCCACAGTTATACCATATAAAGAGGGGACATCTGAGACACTACGTAGGATTCTGAATAAAATAGGAATTAGGGTGGCATTTAAACCTACAAACTCACTCAGGGACAAGCTCTGTAGGTTAAAGGACCCAGTTGACCCAATTAGACAAAATAATATTATTTACAAAATACCATGCAATGACTGTGAGGTCAACTACATAGGTCAAACTAGTAGGTCAGGGGTAGTCAGATTGTCAGAGCATAAAAATTTAGCTAAGGTAAGAATGGTTGACCCCGAGAAGATAAGTAATTTAGAAAAAAGCTCAGCAATTGCAATGCATGCGCTAACACACAACCACACAATAGGGTGGGAGAGGGTTAAAATTCTAAAAAGTAATCTAGGTAGGTGGAGAGAGAGGTTGATTACTGAATCCTTGTTCATCGAGTCTACACCCAACACATGCAATAGGAATGACTCGTCACTCATACCTGAAATATGGAAAATACTATTACCAATCAAATCAAGTGAAAATCAAGAGAAAAACAATGGAACTATATAAATGAATTTAGGAAGTCGTGTGATTACCTTGATATGATTATGAGCAATAAATTGTGCTCGAAACGTCATCAGTAAACATTACTGTATAACACTGTGAGACTTTATCAAAACAAAATTTACCCATAATAGTTAGAGAACCATTGGAAAACCTGGGAGTACTGGACAGCCAACTGTTTCGTCCTAGTTTGGGACTCTTCAACAGTACGCACCTACCCCAACTGGGTTCGAACCCAGGACCTTCTGGTTACAAGGCGAGCTCATGGGCTGGGCATTGAATTGGGTCCCAGTGGCTTAATGGTATACGAGCTCGCCTTGTAACCGGAAGGTCCTGGGTTCGAATCCCGGTGGGTGCGTACTGCTGAAGAGTCCCAAACTAGGACGAATCAGCTGTCCAGTACTCTCAAATAATTTGCTTTATTCCAGAAACAGTACTAATGGTACAGTGTGGAATTTTCAGCACATATCTACAATATTGCATCAAATTTCATCGCACATTTAAAAGGAGTATTTCAAAAAATAAATATTAAAAAAAGACAAAAAAACAAAAATAATAAAAAATGCGAAAAAATACCAAGTAGAAAGGAAAATAAATAACAATAATAAATAATATTTCAGTATTTGGTAGTGGAAGCTATGATATGTGTATGCGTGGTGAACAGTATCAGCTATAATCATACAAGAAGTTATGCAATGATATAAGGGAATGTTTATAGCCAAGATGATCAGTTAATTTGATTGAACAACACTAAACAATCATAAAATAAACATTTCAGGGTTTTTTTTTATTATCAACTCTAATGCGGTGTTTGTAGTGGTAGTGTGAGGAATCATGCATAATACAAAATTTGTTAAGATGGTGATAGTGGCGTTCACAACCAAGATTGTCAGTTAAATAGGGCCGAACAAAGAACAACCACAAAACTAATATTACATGATGGTTAATGACAGGACAATTTTGTAATAATCATAGTGCCAGTAGATACACAAAAGAAGGAATAGAGTAAAGTACAAGGAAAAGTAAGCCAATGTTAATTATCTAGGTAGTCAAGTATGTCTAAGAAGATGTTCACTATATAATACAAATAAGAGAGAAATAAAAGAGCCTAAAAGTATGTTATTAACAACAAAGCAAGTCATAGGTTTCGCGCTTAATATTGTCACTCTGTCACTTAGAACACGGGCTGGCCAAATATGGTATCGTTGAGTTCCAATACTTGGTTGCACGAGCATATATTTTTTTTGTACTGATTTCTGGTTCTACCTGATGCGATACAAGGAGAGAGTTGGGAATAGAGGGAGTGTTGGGGGTCAGAGAGTATGGTTTAGACCATTTTTCACATGTATTCAGATGCCTTTCTACTAATATAGTGACGAGCTGACTGAGTTTTACACCGCTAGTCCTACTAACTACCTTCAACATCCTTCTCAGGATGGTATAGTCCTTTTTCAGTAGCCCAGAAAAGACTAATGGGGAGCAGTAAAGTAGAATAAGAAAGATACGAGAGTTGACAAATTGTGAAAGCAGAGGTTGAGTGATTCCAGTTAGTCTGAGTTTCTTAATGTAGTAGGTTAGACGAAACACTTTCTTGGAAATCATTTGGATATGAGATGACCAAGTAAGGTCGGAAGATAGAACTAGTCCAAGGTATTTTGCATTAGACTTAGTTTCGATTTTAGTCCCCTCAATGTTACAGGCTTTATGAGTACTTACTAGTGTTTTTAGATCTCGTTTATGCCTAAAGGAGAAGTCAATAGTCTGGCATTCTAGAACAATCGTCATTGAGAATATTGGTATTTTTGAATACTATCGATTTGTTCAGATCGCAATGGAATTACAGTTCAAGAAAGACGCTTAAGTAATAGTAAGCATAAAAATATAATAGTAAATAGAATATCAAATAAAATTAAAGAAATTTCCGCAACAAATTGAGGATCATTAAAACCTTGATGGCGAAGGAAAGTAAGCAAAGTATCTGAACCGACTTCTTCTTCCGGATTAATACATAAGTTTCTTAATGTAGATCCCAACAACCAGAGTCAGCAACATGTTGTACACGTACTCTTAAAATTAGTTAGTGTACAGTAGATGACTTTGAAAATCGCCTCGTTGACATCAATCTAGTGTTCTGTATCCACGAGATGAAATAGAATAGAGCTATACATGGATTTTGTTTGTCCCTTACTTAGTCACTTTTCAGGATGGTGTTCAGAAATCCGGCGATAAACACGCGTAACTGTACAGCCTATATATAACTCGTCTTATTCTTACAACTTCAATTCTCCGGGGATAACATCAGTGAGATATCAACACAACGCCTAAGGAATACGGCGGTAAAAAAAACGCCTTCAGTGCTGCTGAATTATGCTGTGTCTTCAAAATCACCCACATTTTGCGTTCAAGAGTTAAAGATAAACTGCCTGATTTCGCCTCTTCTATGTGTGTTTGGTTGGAGGATTTCATCATGGTCTGATATCAGTTAGAGAACCATTAAAAACCAGCTAGGAGTACTGGATAGTGAGGTGTTTCGTCCTAGTTTGGGGCTCTTCAGCAAGCAGCTCATGATGAAATCCTCCAACTAAGCACACAGAATAGGCGAAATTAGGCAGTTTATCTTTAACTCCCGAAAGTAAAATGGGGATGGTTTTGAAGATACAGCATAATTCTGCAGCACTAAACGCCCTTCGTTTTACCGCCGTATTCCTTGGGCGTTATGTTAGTATCTCACTGATGTTATCCTCGAGGCGATGAAGTTGTAAGAATAAGGCCAGTTGCATAGGCTGTACAATTAGGCGTGTTTATCGTCCAATTTCCGAACATCATTCTAAAAAGTGGTTAAGTAAAGAACAACAAACAAAATCCATTCATAATTTTTTTTTAAAATTTTATAGCACTATCTTATGTCATCTCATGGATACAGAACGTGAAATTGATGTAAACAAGGCCTTTGAAGTCATCATCTGCCGTAATCCAACAAATCCTAACTTTTCAAGTATTGATTTTGTAGGAATTTTGTTTGATTGTATGGATGATTTCATCATGTGCTGACATCAGTTAGAGAACCACTGGAAAACCAGTTGGGAGTACTGGACAGCCAGGTGTTTCGTCCTAGTTTGGGACTCTTCAACAGTACGCACCTACCCCAACTGGGTTTGAACCCAGGGCCTTCTGGTTACAAGGAGAGCTAGCTCGTAGACCATTAAGCCACTGGGACTGAATCCAATGGTCCTTGAATCCTAACTTCTGCCAATTCACGACATAGCCTGACCATTTTGCAATGTCTTCAACCTGCTGTCCAGTGATTCTCTAACCGATGTCAGCTCATGATGAAATCCTTCAACCAATCAAACAAAATCCCTGCAAAACCAATACTTGAAAATTCACCTGATGCTCACTAGTGACTAGCTCTATTCAGGTGGGCAGTTAACCTGAGCTGGTTCTAGTGGAAAGTCGTGACCAGTAGGTTGAAGATTAGGCAGTAACTTATCGGAGAAGACATTGTGAAATGGTCGCGCTATGTCGTGAATTGTCAGAAGTTAGAATTCATGGACTGGCCATTGGATCGGGTCCCAGTGGCTTAATGGTCTACGAGCTAGCTCGCCTTGTAACCAGAACGTGCTGGGTTCGAACCCAGTCGGGGTGGGTGGGCATTGATGAAGAGTCCCAAACTAGGACGAAATAGCTGGTTGTCCAGTGGTTCTCTAACTCATGTCAGCATATGATGAAATCATCCATATAATCCTAACTTTACCTTAATTGATTTTCTTTTTATTCCTTGTAAATTTTTGTTTTCCTCTCTTTTCTTTTAGTTTACTCTTCGTTTACAATTAGCTGAACGTATGGAAATCACTCTACAACTCTCCGGCTACATCCATCGTTTAATTGATTCACTTCATTTGCCAACATTTTCAACTGATAAGAAATCACATCTTATCTATCATAGAAAACCGGCACCGGCACCACCACCACCAACAACAACAACATTGTCGTCAATAGCAGCATCACCGGTGTATATTTCGCCTTCCACCGTTTCGTCAAACAACAAATCATCATCATCAAGGCATAATCCATCCTGGTGTTTAATACATACCTCACTGTTTTATATTCATTTATTTTTATTATTTGGTTGTTTTGGTTGGCTGCTGCCACTTTTGCCAGATTTCGGAGAGTATGTTGCATGTCGTGAAGATGGGAGTCTGCGTGTCGGTGAACCACAAATAAGGTAATGAATTGATTTTAGTTGATAATGCGTGTTTCATTTCTTTTGTGTTTTTTTTATACTCATTGTCTCCTTTTAAGTTTGTATGTGTGTCATGAAGGAGTGATGTTTTAAGGTTTGAAGTCCGTTATGGATAAGATTTTATTTTGATAAACTATCACACAGTGATGATATACATTAATATTAACTGATGCGACCACGTTTCGAGCACAATTGATTATTGCCACACATAATCATATCAAGTCACTCACTCACACAACTTTTTTCCTTCATTTATATACATGAGTGAAATTGGTGATCGGACATTTGAATAAAACTCACTATAGGATAATGCAGATTCGGAAATAATAATACGAGTGTTGTTGATCAAATACATTCAGATGGGAAATAAGACGAGTGTTTTTATAGTCATAATAAGTGAGTAACTTGTTAGAATGTTGTGATGTGGGTGTTTGAATTGAAATAGAATTTTGAGGTTATTTATTATCCTCTTACGATATGACTGACCGGCGGTAATAATATCTTCCATACATATTTCCGGTATTTGCATTGAGTCATTTCTGTTGCATGTGTTGGGTATAGGTAGACTCGATGGACCAGGCAGGATTCAGTAATCAATCTCTTTCTCTCCACCGACATAGATTACTTTTTAGAATTTTAACCATCTCCCACCATCCTATCAGGTGGTTGTGTGTTAATGCATACAGTGCTATTGCATTACCACACAAATACACAATAGGGTGGGAGAGGGTTAAGATTCTAGAAGTAATCTATGTAGGTGGAGAGAAAGAGATTGATTACTGAATCCTGCCTGGTCCATCGAGTCTACCTATACCCAACACATGCAACAGAAATGTCTCAATGCAAATACCGGAAATATGTATAGAAGATATTATTACCACCGGTCAGTCATATCGTAAGAGGATAATAAATAACCTCAATATTCTATTTCAATTCAACCACCCACATCACAACATTCTAACAAGTTACTCACTTATTATGACTATAAAAACACTCGTCTTATTTCCCATCTGATTGTAATTGATCAATAACACTCGTATTATTATTACTATTATTATTTCCGAATGTACATTATCCTATATTAATTTTTAATCCAATATCTAATCAATTCCACACATGTGTATAAATGAAGGAAGAAAGGTTGTGTGAGTAGTGCCTTGATATGATTATGTGTGGCAATAATCAATTGTGCTCGAAACGTGGTCGCATCAGTTAATATTAATGTATATATCATCACTGTGTGATAGTTTATCAAAATAAAATCTTATCCATAATGGAGTTATGCTCTACCACAGTGCCCAAGTTTTATTCTTATATCTAAGATTTGAAGTCCGAGACAATTCTAACTCAATGGCAGTAGACATTTTTGGAAAGAATGAAGTCAGTTCACCGTTTGTCAGTTCAACCTACTCGCCAAGGTTAGCACAAACTACATTCTGATTGGTTTGTTACTTATACACCAGTTACTTATTCACAATGTAGAGTACCCCGGAAACACTGAAAGTGTGCCCAGAGACCTCATTCAACATGCCTGTGTCATTACTGCAGAAGGTGTGCAAGGAAGGAAAAGTACCTGCTAACTGGAAAAAAGCTAGCCACCTTTGTCACAAACTGTCAGTGAGGGATGAAGTAAAATAATAATCCATGGCATCCTGCGAAGATTAAAAGATGATGTGAATGCAAAAATCCGCCTGGAACAAGCTGGATTCAGGAAGTGTGCAAGTCATCAGCGGATCGAATTGCATATGGTAATCGTACAAAGCATGGAATACCAATTAACTTTGTATATTAAATTTATTGGCGTTGTTATGTATTCGATAGCGTTGACTGTAAAGTAATTTGGAAACTTCATCAACACTATACAGTGCAGCGCTCAAACATACATAAACCTCATCTAACAGCTCTGTAATGATGGTGTGCGCCAAGCGGTTCACGACGGAAAGCTCAGCAAAGTATCTGAAGTGACGATAGGTATTAAGCAAGACTGTCAGCTATCACTGGGAAGTCTTTCTGATTTTCGTGAACTGGTTCATCCAGCGAATCATGGTTACTGAGAAGATGAGCATACGTTGAACAACAGGTAGAAAGACACTAGGAGAAGAAGCAGAGAAGATAAGAATTCAAGGGAACATACAGAAGATAGAGGCGATGAAGATACCTAGCCAACAAAGAAAAAGTATCAATCACTATCAAACAGAGGAAATGTAAAGGTAGTATCGTTTGAACTACAGGCAATTCGCTTAAGGATATCAAGTTTAGACAGGCGTTTATTATTCTGAAACGGTTATAATAATAATAACAAAAATACTAATAATGATAATAATAATAGTAACAATCTGTCTGTCTGTTTTCGACATAGAACTTTGCACAAATGTGCACCAGTTCGAGTCGCCTCCCTCCTTGTAGCACACAAAGCAACAGAAGAAAGTACAAGAAATGCATAATACGGACAGTAAATAGAGGTGTGAGACAAAGGATAGTAGTAACGAAGAACAACATAGTTTAATTGGAAATCATAAGTCACAAGGAGTGGATGCATCTGCGCCATTGACAACGATTTTGAGCCATATCACCAATTGTTTCCAACCATTGATTTTTACCGTCCCGAGGACCCCAACCTGGAAGTCTACACCTTTCTACATGGCTTAGACTAACTATTGTAGATTTCATTGACTGATGAAGCCATGTTTTTGTTTGACCTCCGCTAGCTTTTTTCCAGCCTGACCCTGTATCCGCTAACATTGCTTGTCGAGGAAGGCGATGACTGGATGCATATGTAACACATGTCCTAACCATCTCAGTCTTTGTAACTTCACAACTTCGTCGATTGATTTCCCCTGTTTACCTAGAACTCGACGTCTAACCTCAATATTGCTCACCTTATTATGCCGCTTCTCACGGGAGATAGAACGCAGGCACCTATGATCAAAGACAGCTAATCTTTTCATGTCTTCCACTCTCAGTGGCCAGGTCTCGCTCACAGCCATAAAGGAGGACGGAGCGGACTGATGAGCAATACACCCGCCCTTTGGTCGATAGTCGAACATCTCGTAACAATAATAATTATTGGGCGAATAGAAAAAAGGGCACACCTCCGATTTTCGGAACATGTGCCGAAAAGCCTACGTCTCAAGGGAACAAACTCTTATAATAGCGCTATTACCAGACAACTCCTCGATACGGGTCATCAGGTGAAAATCGAGAAATCCTTAAAATTATCAATAGACAAAATAACTCAATTCTCGTTAATTTTGCCGAAGCAATCTCTATCAAACGCCTGATACACGATTTGTGTGTTCAGAAAGAGGCGGTTATCAGTCTTTCCTTGCCCATCGTGATAAATGGATGGCATTATTCTCCCTTTCATCTGATTACGTAATCTTCAGCTTTAATATCACTTCCTTTCGATTTAGTGTAATTTTGCTTGTCTCTTGTTTCTGTGATTTGAGTTGAACTCAGTACATTGTTACCTAATTTATTAGTCACTCTGCATCTAGCGCATATCTCGTCTTAATTACGTAACTCCTTTACCATTGTATGCTCACATTTATTTTGTTTAAACTTGAACTGCCTGTGTAAAAGCTACATAAGCGCAATTTTCTGAGTACTGTTCACTAATTGTGGAACTTTCTGTCAACTGACATCACGTCACCAGATTTGTAAGTATGTTAAAACTTTTCTGTACGTAAACCTCATAATTTATTTAGACTGTAAGCAGCTGAACTGCTGAGAGGCCAACGAAATAAATGATGGCACCGTATTATTCTGCACAAGCTATCACTGTTGTTCTTGCTTTATTCAAATAATAATAATAATACTCTTAATTCTAGACAGTAATTATAAAATCTGTAGAATTTTCAGAAGAGCTTATTACGTGATATTTTTACTTTGTACTATATCTTCAAGTGAAATATCAATTGACAGGTATTTGCTTCCTGTGACACAATGGTCTCTGAGCTGAAACACAAATCATTCCATTATGATAGATGTCTGCTATGTCTCCTTCAAGAAATCCACGATATCGATTTAGTTGAAAAATGTTCAGAAGTACATTTTGAGATCGAAGGACATAACTAAAGAATAGTTATCTCATGTATTGATTGGGACACGTTGCCACCCAGATATCAGGCCATTCTTCAAGTTTAATCGGAACTTACTAATCAGAAGCTTGTAAACACTTTAAATACACACATGAGTAGATAATACACCATTAGAGGGGTCATATCTTAATGGATTATAACAAACTGAACGAGAGAAAATATATGCAATAGAGAGAGAGAGAGAGATGGAAGTTTTTGGTAGCTCAAGTTCTAAGCAGGCTGCCAACTATTATTAGGTCATTAGACACTTGAAACAAGGGACAAAATCTGAATTCTTAACACCAATGTCAAATCAAGGCTACTCTATGGTTCATAGACTTAGTGCATTACCGAAAGCATTTCAAACAATTTGAAGACTGTCATCAACAGTTTCTTTCACTCTATACTGAAAGTCAGACAGTCCGAAGCAAGCTGGCCAACAACACACAAGGAGGTCGAAATGGCTTAGACATACATACAGAGGAGATCGCCGCATGAAATCACACACACACACACACACCAGGCCCCTTGAATAGAACCCAAATACCAAGCAATGAGTTGTTCATGAGTCCGAGGTGTGCCAGCTGTAAAAGCCTGCAGAGAACACAGGGGGAAATGGTAATGTCCTGCTGAAGTCCTCCGATGTTCTACTCAGAACCCAAGAGAATAATAATAATATTAGTAGTAGTAATGAATTTCGTCAAAACAATAAGAAGGCGTAATTTGTGCGCAATACATTCAAGACTGTCTGATCACACACACACACACACACTCGTACGTGTTACACATAACTAAAAGGTAACAGAATATACGAGAGCACAGTTAGGAGAGGTAGAAAAATGAAGTAAGATAAGAAGGAGATGAAAATATTATCATCACTAAGTAAAATAAAGCTTCATTTTACAACTGGTTTACCAAGGCCAGTTCAATGGAATGAAAAATAATTTTTGAATCTATAAAACAGGATTGCAGGTGAACACAGAGAAGACGGAGGTGATGAAGCCAACCAACCAACCAACTACCAACAGCAACAACAACAACCAGCACCAATCACCATCAACTGGAGAGATTTAACAGAGGTTGCCGCCTTCACTCTTACTAACCAGGAAGCATCGTTTCAACTACAGGTGGAACGGAACGGACGAAAATGTGAAAGGCAGTTAGATTTGGAAAAGGCGAGATACGCCTTCATCAACCTGAAACCAGTTTGGAAATCTTCTGGAGTGACTCAACATAAGGAACAAGATTCGCATTTTCAACACCACTGTGAAGTGGGTTCTTCTATAGGGTCAGAAACCTGCACTGCGTGTCACGAAAGGGTATCCAACAAGTTACAGACTTTTGTCAACAGCTGCCACCTTTTTTGGCTAACTTCATACTGAAGATTAAATGGCCGATCAGAAAGAAAAGCAACAAGAAACTGTGGAAACAAATCGACAAGCAGCCGATTGCTCAACAAGTGGATATGTAGGAGAAAATGGAGATGGATTGGGCTTACATTGAGGAGCCGAATGACATCGCACGCAATGCAGGCCATTGATCGAGGGGAATCCCAATTGGAAGCGACGAGTGGGTCGTCAGTGCGAGGGTGACATGGAGGAGATGGAGTGAGTCGGAGGAGATGAGAGATTGTGGGAAATCGTGGATCTAGCGGAAGAGGATGGCGGAAAATAGAAGAAAGTGGAGATTTGTTGTTGATGCCTATTTCCACTCGGAAAGCGAAGAAATAATAATAATAATGAAACAGGCTTAGGCTTTTTTGTGATACCACGGATGACATTGGTCAGTGGTTAAGCTAAGTGCATCAGGAATCGGTAGAAGTTAGAATTCATGCGGTTGCCAATGAATTGGGTCCCAGTGGCTGGAATGGTATACGAGCTCGCTAGTCTCGTAACCGGAAGGTCCTGGGTTCGAACCCCGCGGTATGGGTGCGTAAAGCCTGTAATTCCCAAACTAGGATAAAACAGCTGACTGTCTAGTATCCCAATGCTGGTTTTCAATGGTTCCCTAACTGATATCAATCCATGGTCACACTCGTAAAAAAATACATATAAGCGTTTAAAATCAGTTATTGGAATCAACTTTATATGACCCATGTGTCGGACATTTATAATTGAGTTTTTGTAAAGTTGTCATATTTTTTTCCAATAACCCTGCATCTTAATATTTTTTGTCTCTCCTTCTCTGTTCTCCCTACTGTGTCTTCTGATCGTCATCACTCTCTGATGGGAATAGTTCTGGGAAGTCGATTCTATGCATTATCGATTTCATCTTGTTATATTTCTCATCAATAGCTGCTGCAATCTGGTCAAATATCTTTGATTATGCCTTATTATATCAAATGAAAAAAATCAATTACAATTTAACCAATCAACAGAATCCTTCTCCTCTTTATCATCAGTCACATCATACTCGTCAGCATCCTCGTCATCAACAACATGGACGTCAGCATCGTGACCACCGCCATCATCATTTGAATCAGCGCCAAAATCAAACTGATGTCATAGAAATGAAACATATTCAATCTTATTTAACAAAATTTAGTGAAAATTTATCAAAAAAGAAAAAGAAAGCTGTTAACAACAAGTTAACAAATACTGATGATAATTATTCGTCATTATTATTAATAAAAAAGCGTATCTCACATGAACCTTTATCAGAAATAACAAATTCAATTAATTTAACCAATGAAAAATCGTCAGAATTTGAATTATCCACTGAAGGTCATAATATGATTGATTTAAACAATGATAATATTGAAACAATTGAACCATTGAATACATCTGTTATAAATGACAATAGTAATAATAATAATGATGGTGATGAGAAAAAGTATAATAAAACTGCTACAACGACAACAACAAGTAAACGACCTCGACGACGACGACAATTAGTACTTCATTCATCATGTTCATTTAATTCTTCATTTAATTCTCCATCATCATTAATGACATCATCTTCTGGTACGTCTTCTTCAACACCGCCTTCCCCTTCACCTTCATCACCATCACCTTCATTGTTATCTAATCTGAAGGGGAATGAACATTTACAAACATCTTTTATCAAATCTAATGTATTGAAAGAAAGCATGAAAAAGTCGAATAATACTACTATTACTACAACAATTACTACTAATGACAATAAAAATAATGGTGAGAGTATCATTTCTCGTGATAATGATAATAATGTTGACATCGATGTAAATGTCTCTTCAAAGAAATATGATAATCATAGTAAGTTACTATTATTATTATTTCTTTTAATTCCTAGAGGAACATAGGGCTTCAGCCGCGCATGTCTCCATTGCATTCGGTTCTCTGCTAAAGTTTTCACCTGGCTCTAGGTCTACCCATATGCTTCCATCTCCTCTTTACATGACCTCCTTCAAGTCACCCTCGCACTGACGACTGACTCGCCACTTCTATTTCAGGTTCTACTCGAGCAATGGCTTGGCGTGTGATATCACTTGATGGATTGTTTCCTTAGAGTACGGCCGCCAATCCACCTTACTCCATTTCTTCCTGCCTGTTTGTTTCACAATCGGTTCCTGCTGGGTTGGTTCGCTCATTGCCAGAGATCCCTGTTGCTGATGTCTTCTTGCCGGCCATCTGGTCTTGAGTATTGAGCGACTTGTTACCAGGGAATAGTCTTGTGGACTTAGAATATACAGATGACATAGTCCTGTTAGGGGAGGATGCTGAAAAAATGCAGAGTCTTCTGAACACCTTGAGCAGCAATCTTCGTATGTTTAGTATGCGGTTCGTCCCTACAAAATGTAAGATGCTGCTGTAGGATTGGACTACGTCAACTCCTAGCTTGGTGATAGAGACTGAAGTGATAGAACATGTTGATCACTTCACCTATTTGGGAAGTTGTATTAGCACCAACGGACTGTTTGGAGATGAAATCTCAGCACAGATCCAAAAAGCTCGAGCTGCTTTCGCTGACTTACACCATCTCTGGCGTAGGCGTGACATCCGGTTATCAACCAAGGGACGTGTGTACTGCTCATCAGTTCGCTCCGTCCTTCTCTATGGCTCTGAAACATGGCCAATACGAGTTGAAGACATGAAAAGGTTGACTGCTTTCGATCATAGATGTCTGCGATCTCTGTCTCACGTTAGGTGGTTTAATAAGGTAAGTAATGTTGACGTTAAGCGTAGAGTGTTGGGCAAAGAGGGAAAATCAATCGACGAGGCTATAAAGTTACATAGATTGAGATGGCTAGGTGATGTGCTGCATATGCCTAACCATCGCCTCCCACGATGGGCATTACTAGCTGATATAGATGGGTGCAGGTTGGAAAAGAGTAAGTGGTGGCCAAACAAAAACATGTCATCAATCCATGAAATCCTTGACAGTTAAACTGAGTCGGTCAGGTAGGGAGTTGCAGACTTCCGGGTTGGGGCCCTCGGGACTCTAGGAACCAATGGCTGGAGACAATAGGTGACATGGCTCAAAATCGTTGTCAATGGCCAGCGGAGATGTATTCAGTTTCTGTAATCTTTCATATTTCTTTCTACCATTACCCATTATTCTGTTTCACTCTTATACTTGTCAGACTGTTTTGATTCTCTTCACTCATCTTCTTGTCTACCTCTGTGTGCTATTTGGAACGTGGTAAGTTGAACTGGTGTACTTCGGTGCCAAGTTCTATGTTGAATCCAGACAGACAGAGAGAGTATTGAGCGAAGACAGCTGTTGATGAAGGTCTTTAGTTTGTTGGAGGTGCTTTTCATGACGCGCCAAGTCTATAATCCGTGCAGAGTAGCACTGAATTCATATTGGAGGTGAAAATCCGGATCTTATTTTTGATGCTGAGTGCTGCTCACCCCCACACAGACTTGAGAGTAATGAGAGCTTGTCTTGCTTTTCTGATTCTTGCTCTGATATCCTCGTCCGTTCCGTTCGCCTGTAGTGGAAACGATGCTTCCCAGGTAGGTAGGTAGGTGGGTAAAGGAGGTTACTTCTTTCAGACTTCTCTCATTTATGCGGATTGTTGTTGGTCAGGAATCTTCATCACCTCTGCTTTCTTTATGTTCACCTGAAGTCCTATCTTTGATGCTTTTTCTGCCAAGTTGTTGCTTTTCACTTGCATATCACTTGCGTGTCATCCTTGCACAGGGGCCATGCTAATCTTCTCTGTATCGTTCCAATTTTAGTATATGTACGGCCGAAGCGAGTACACATAGTAAGTTAAAGGCAGTTATCTAATCTTATCTTTTCTACAAATTTTTTAAAAGCATATGCCTTCTGCGCTAGAAGTGACTGCGATTCGTCCCTTCTGTTCCACTGGCGTCATTTTCAACTAACTGCTTAAAATTCCATATTAGTTTGTTTACTAGACGTATCACACAGTCAATCAAACAGTATTATTATTTACTGGATGACAAAATTTCGAACAAAATTTATTGCTGTTCATAATCATTTAATCAATAATAATCACACGACTTCGAAACTTGAGTTTTATAGTTTTCTTTATCTTCTCCTATTTATCGTCTTTAGGGTAGTAGAATTTCCCAGATATCTGGGACGGATTAACTAGACTGACAAATTCTTATGAACTAAAACACAGATTAGATAATTTAAAATTAGATAATGAAGAGAAAATGGTTAGTTTTGACATTGTCAGTTTATATACACGTATACCAATTAATATGGTTATAGAAGCAGTCGGAAACGAACTTATTTCTGACCAAGAACTCGAACTTAGGACAAAAGTAACACTTGCGGATATAATGCTGGGAGTGCAGCTATGCCTGACTTCCACAGTATTTAACGTCCAGGGGAAAATATGCAAACAAACTGAGGGAGTTGCCATGGGATCACCAATATCCCCGATTGTAGCAGATATATTCATGGATAGGTGGGAAAACGTAGCGATTGAAACGTTCAGCCCCACCTCAAAAGTATGGTGGAGGTATGTTGACGACACATTCACTATACTCAGAACACAGGATGTAGATAGATTTCTCAAACAAGTTAACTCAAAGGTGGAGGCAATTCAATTCACTTATGAATTGGAAAGTCAGGAAGGAGAGCTTCCAATGTTAGATTCTAGCGTAAAAAGAAAAGAAGATGGGAAAGTAAACACTAGTGTGTGTTTACAGGAAACCCACACATTCAAAGAGATATTTGGACTTCCGATCATCCCATCCTATGTCAGTAAAAATAAGATTAGTGAAATGTTTAAATGACAGAGCACAAAATCTAAGTAGTACCAAGGAAAATCTAAGACAGGAAGTGAGACATATAAGAGGAGCCTTGAAACTTAATAATTACCCTGATAAATTAGTCAGGAAATATGTAAGGAAACGTAAAGATAAAATAAATAATGATAGTAGTGACAGTGGTAATAATAATAATATTAATGACGACATGCATGTCAAACATGCACACGATAATGACAACACCAACAATAAGGAATCTAAATCATCAGTAGTAATTCCATACAAGGAAGGAACCTCGGAAACCTTACGCTGAATTCTTAACAAGGCAGGAATTATAGTGGCTGGCATTCAAACCCACAAACTCAATTAGAAACAAGCTTTGTCGGTTAAAGAATCAATCCTGTGGAGCCTTTAAAACAAAACAATTTAGTTTATCTAATACCCTACCTGCAATGATTGTCAGGTCAAATACATGTTCTAAATGTCATCCAGTAAATAGTAATACTGTTTGAGTGACTGTGTGATACATCTAATAAACAAACTAGTATGGAATTACTTACTACCACAGTGCCCAAGTTTTACACACATATATATCAACTGCTCACAAGCTCTCCTTTCATCTTCACATAATTTCTTCTACGTTAATCGTAGACGCCTCATTCACCGCCTTCTACTTGGGCTCTTACTTGGGCGAGAGCCTAGTGTATGACCTCGCCGCCTGATGATGTCTTCTCAGAGTACATCCAATCTATCTCGATCTGCGTCTGCATACATACATATTGAACGATAGGTTGTGAACTGGTTCACTGACTACAGGATTTCATCATGCAATGACATCGGTTAGGTAACCATTGGAAAAGTAGTAGGGAGTACTGAACAACTAACTGTTTCCTCAGCCTAGGTTGGGATTCCTTCAGTAGTACTCATTCAGGACCTGCCAGAGTTCCCTGTTGCTTATCCTTTCTGGTTGACCATGTAGTCTTCAATATGAAGCGAAGATAGTTGTTGTACATGCACAAAATGCAACAGTTTGAGTCATCACATTTCAATTAAGCTCACATAAAGATAGAGAAATCAAGCAGAAATGCAAGAAGACTGTGATGGACAGAAATGTATAGGAGAAAGAATAATTGTATCAAAAATACTAAGAATTGAATCGGTCGAACAGATCATAAATAAGGAATGTATGTGGCTCCATTGAGAACAATTTTGAACCATGTTACCAACAGTCCCCAGCCATCTTATAGATCCTAATGTGTTTATATTGCTGTATAGTCGATTATCATTGTGGATTAAAAGTTTCAACCTTATTTATGTTTTTCTATCAAGAGTTGATTTGTAAGGATTAAATGTGTTTTTACGAGTTTGACAATGGATCGATAACATCCAGTTAGAGAACCATTGAAAACCAGCACTGGGGTGTACTGGACACCCAGCTGTTTCATCCTAGTTTTTTTGGGAATCCTTCGCTGTACGTACCCACCAACAGGGTTCGAACCCACGACCTTCTGGTTACTCAGCCACTGGGACCCGATTCATTGGCAACCGCATGAATTCTAACTTTTACCAATTCTCGATGCACTTAGCGCGACCACCAACCAATGTCATCCGTGGGAACTCCATCCTCACACTTGACTGGATGGACGTCACTGGTGACGACTTCTCACTAGAACTCCAGGAAACCCCGTCCTGTAGCAATTGAACAGGGCCATTGAATCGTCTCCCAGTGGCTGAATGGTACAACAGCTTTCCTTGTAACCGGAACGTCCTGGATTCGAACCCTGTTGGTGGGTGCCTACTGCCTATGATTCCCAAAAAACCCAAAATGAAACGGCTGGCTGTCCAGTACTCCATGATTTTCATCGGTTATGGCTACTCAGTAGTAGCATTTAATAATAATAATAAAGCTTTATTTCAGACAATGCGTGAACACATACTGTGGCATTTGCTACTTATAAGATTTATCAGTAGTATATAAGGAGACGCTCATTGGCATAAAAATCATCAAATAGCAGGGAGATAGATTCGATGTCAGAGAAAGCAAATGACAGCATTGCGGAGATACATGGGAGGCGAGGTGAAAGGAACACAAAGAAACACACACACACACAATATGAAGGAAGGCCAGAAAGAAGTGGCACAACACGAGGATCTGTGCAAATGATAATTTTTGAAGATAAGTTGTACATAATTTGTCATCATAGAGATATCAAATTACAAATAAAAAATTCCTCTAGCAATAATCGATTGGATACTAGTAACTAGTGTGATGTGTGTCTAGTCCTTTTCGTTTGGCGCAGACTGAATTCTATCAGTCAGGTTTGCAATGTGGTCACTGATGTGAGTTTTGCAAATAATGTGTGATTGTGTGGAGTGTCAAAAGCCGGAAACACCCGGTATTTCCAGCCGGTCACCCATGCAAGTACTAACTGGGCCCAACGTTGCTTAACTTCGGTGATCGGACGAGAACCGGTGCTTTCAACGTGGTATGGTCGCCGACAAATGCACTCCCCTGCAAATATCACTTCAACACTGCACCACTGCACAAAACATACCCACATGCACACACATACTATCATCACTCACAGCTACACATACGCATCAACAACACAACACAATAGTTCAGTCAGTGGTAACGTTTCTGACTGCATCATTGGCTGGTGACGCGAGTTCGAATCTCAGAAGGGACATGAGTTGTTCCTTCAAGGCAGTTGCAGATACGCCTTGCTGACGAGTGTCAACTAGCACGAAACCTAGGTTAGGTCAGGCTTCCTGTGGCCGATTGCCTCCAACCATCTAATATCATCATTTGTCTACCAAGTCGTTCGTCTTCTACCGTTTGAATAGTACAGAAATTTTCAGCCTATCTACTCCCGAAATATTTCCTCTACAGAGAGGAGATTTACCTATAATGTATAATCTGAAGTATACCACGTGACATAGATTTGTTGCATATGAAGAGAGTGAACCAATTCTGTACATATGTCTTCTTCATTTCTTTCACAGATTGTACATCGTTCAGTTGGAGGCTAATTAATTATGCGCACGAGTTCACGTAGTGATTACATACGATATGTAATTGCATGATTAAAACAATAAGAGAAATGCAGAAGAGTTTAGGGACTTTGATGTGTGAAAATCCTGGTAGCCTAGTGATTTAAGCATTAGTTGTCACCATATATCCAGTTGGCTTAGCTAACGGAGATTGTCACCATTCCAGTCAGTTGGTTTAAGTCGTACTGCGTCTCATGTCTTTATTTCAAGCACAGTCATCCCTTCCATCTACAGTAGGATTTACCTAATAAATCAGAAGTATTAGATAGTTGGAAGCCATCGTCAGGAAGCCTTGCGTGACCCAGGTTTCGTGCTTGTTGGCACTCACCAGCCATCAAGGCGTATCTTTAATCTTGAAGGAACTCATGGCCCTTCTGCAGTAAGTGAAAGGACTAAACACATGACACTAATTATTGTCCAGTGAAAAGTATCTAATACGTCCTACGTGGGGGGTAAGCGGGCGGGCAAATCATGGGCCGTGATAGCTCAATGGTAACGTCCCTGACTGCAGCACTGGGTGACACGGGTTTGAATCTCAGAAAGGACGTGAGTTCCTTCAAGATTGCAGATACGCCTTGCTGACTGACTGGTGAGTGCCGACTAGCACGACACCTGGGTCACGCTGGGCTTCCTGAGGCCGATTGCCTCTAGCCATCTAATAACAACAATCCTGATTGTACTGTGGTAGCATAGTGTGGTCACATCACAAACTTGACTGATAGAACTCAGTCTGCAGTAAACAAAGGGACCAGACACATGTCAATTTGAAAAGAATCAGAAGTATTTCAGAGAGTTTTACAAATGTTTCGATTAACCGTTACTTCATGAGGGGAATTAAGGACTGTGTTCGTCTCCTGATTAAACAGTTGATGTAAAGTTCTATGTCGAAAACAGACAGACAGAGTTGATGAGTCGTAAATTATGACCAAGCGGTTGACACCTCTTGCTTAGTTTTCAGTATTTTGTAAATAGTAAGTATTTCTAAGAGTTAATTTGGTCATGAATTGATATCTATTAGAGAACCAATGAAAACAAGGGAGTATGCTGGACAGCTTACTGTTTCCTCCTTGTTTGTTATGGAATTCAATGTTCTGTGAATTTCAACTTTCACCAATTCATGATTTTAGCGTGACCACTAACCAGTGTCATTAGTGAGTATTTGCCCTCACCCCCCCCCTAGTGTGTACCCCCCCCCACTGGTCATGACCTCTGACTAAAACTCCAGGTAAATTCGTCATATAGTCAGTCACCAGTGAGCATCAGATGAATTTTCAAAAGTTATTTTCTAGGGTGTTTCATTTGTTTTAAGTTTGCTCACTGATAAGGCGTTCCAAACTAGGATGAAACAGTTAGCTTTATGGTTTCCATTGGTCCTTTTTATTATTATGTATCATTATTTCCCTGAGTTCCGAGTGGAACAATGCTTCTCCACTTCGTTAAATTTGGTGCTGTCCTCTTCAGCTGGCTGGGTCCACGACTGTCCATAATCTCTCATCTCCTTCTCCCTCATGATCTCCTCTATGTCACCCTTATACCAACGACCGACTCGTCACTTCCCAGTTTTATTCCACTGGAGCAATGTCATTCAGTGGTCTCCTCAACATATGCCCGATCCATCTCCATTTACCGCTCGCCGAGCATACACATGGTCTGGAGTTCGATTCCCGACCAACGCACTTTGTGTGTGCGCCGGTGGCACAGTGGTTAGGACTCTCGCCGACCATGCACATGGTCCGGGGTTCAAGCCCACGCTGGCTCACACCCCTATATATATATATATATATATATATATATATATATATATATGTTGAGCGATCGGATCTTGCTTGGTTTGTTCCCAGCCAAAGTTTCTTGTTACTCATTCTTTATGGCCATTTGATCTTTAGTATTAAGTCAACCAAAGAAGGTGGCAGCTGTTGATAAAAGTCTGCAGCATGCCATTGGAAATCCTTTTCGTGACGTGCAATTCAAGTTCCTCACCTGTGTAGAAGCAGTGACAGACTTGACATGTGTGTTGAGCAGAATTCGAATCTTGTTCTTTATACTGAGTGAGCGAAGTACAAGATTTCCAAACTGGTTTCAGGTTGATAAAGGCATATCTTACGTTTCCTATTCTAGCTGGCTGGATTTGACATCTTCATTCGTTCCGACTGCATGTGTTTGAAACCGTGCTTCCTAGCCAGATAAGTGAACGAAGTGACCTCTGTCAAATGTCTCCCGCTGATAGTGATTGGTGCTGGTTGTTGTTGTTGTTTCTGTTGGCTGGTTGGTTATCTTCATCACCTCCATCTTCTGTATGTCCACTTGGAGTCCTGTCTTCACTGCCTGCCTTGCGTCTTCCGTCAGTTTGTTGGTTTTCGCCTGTAGGTCTTCGAGTTTGTGTAAGTTACATTAAACATCAATCATCCACGTGAGAAATCCAGATCGTCTAGAGTCTTCTTATTGATCAGTCCAACGTATTCCTGTATTCTAACTTCTCGTGCACAGTTTGACGCATAATCCAGTCTATATCACAATTAAGAATATCATCGGTGATGATAATAGGCAGGAAGCCTTGTCTTACTCCTGTATGCACTTCGAACGCCTCCTTGTAGATCCCCTGACACCTGACATTGTCACATAGTCAGCTGTTGAATAAGGTTGATAAAGAATTGGGCACTGCACACTGTGGTGTTGAAGCAGTTTTAAAATTACTCCTCAGTCAACTCTGTGCCGATGAAGACATTTTCGAATTGGTCGATGAAGTTGAGGTGTAGAGACGTGTTTGACCGTCATTCTATTCTTTGTTCTGCGCTACTGATGCATAGAGTTGCAATTTGAACAGCACTCAATTATTCTCTAACTGATATTCATCTGCAATCAAACTTGAATAATGTTTATTTTTATCAATGAAATAAACATACCTGATATCTGAGTTAAATTCTAATGTGATTTTTGCCCGCTTTTCTTTTAAATCCTCAGATGTTCGCTCCAGTCCCAGCAGTAATAATCATCAAACAATATGCTCAGATTCAATTATTCAACGATCACCACCACCATTGCTGAGAAACCTAGCCTCGACTGTGCATGATAATAATAACAGCAGCGGTCGTCAGGATCACCACCACCACCACCACCACCACCAACAACAACAACCAGACCACAGCCATCGTCATCATCATCATCATCCTCACCATCACCACCAACATCAACACCTAGTCATGATTATCGACAGTATAAATATGGTTCATTCACTGGGATCCCTTTAAGTTCACTAGTTGATTTTTTACCCTATGATTGTTTAGACTCTTATCTGTATTCGTCGCCTACATGTTTCCCTCATCCAAAACCATTAATCTCACAAATCTTATGGATTCAGTTGTTTACTACTGATAAATACTTATTTATTCATAATAATATGGACAGTAGTCACGGTAGTAATAATAATAATAATACTAATAGTAGTAGTAGTAGTATGAAATGGTGTGAAATGCATAATTGTTATCAAATGGTTATTGGTGGTGATGATGATGATGAAGTTGGAGGTGATGGCGGATATCATCAGGTGAATGCTCTTGTGACGACGATGAGAACAACAACACCAATAACCAAATCGCCAATACCGATGCCTATGTGTTCTTGTTCTTCTGCTTATTCTAAGTCACTTATGCTTAAACATGGCGTGATTATCTCATCCCCAATAAATCAATCGATAAGCACACAACCACAAACCACTTGTTTACACTTGCTGGCATTAGCTGTTCCATTAGTGCTGACTTTGATCAGTTTAACAGCTGCAGAAGTAAGTCAAATATTATTTCTATTTATTTGTTGATTTATTTATCTATTGTTTGTTTGGCATGCGATTCGCTCCCGCCAAATGCAAGATGATGTTTTAGGACTGACTGGACCACAATGACTCCTAGTTTAGAAATAGGGAGTGAAGTGGTTGATGGAGCATGTTGACCGCTTCCCTTATTCGCGAAGTTGCATCAGCCAGTGCCAGTGGGTTGATCTCTGACGAAGTCTCGGCACGGATACACCGGAGGCTAGTTTCGCATATGCCAGTTTACGCCGTCTCTGGCCTAGTAGACGTGATATCCGGCTGGTTATCGACCAAAGGGCGGATGTACTGCTCACCAGTCTGCTCCGTCCTCCTTTATGGCTGGCTGTGAGACGTGGCCATTGAGAGTGGAAGGAAGACATGAAAAGACTAGCTGTCTTTGATCATAGGTGCCTGAGCTCTATCTCCCGTGTAAAGTGGCATAATAAGGTGAGCAATATGTAGGTTAGATGTTGAGTGCTAGGTTGTGAAATCACATCAACTGAGATGGTTAGGAAATGTGTTACGCATGCATGCATAGTCATCGCCTTCCTCGACAACTGGCAATGTTAGCTGATATAGGGTCAGGCTGGAAAACAGCTAGCCAGCAGCTCTCAAACCAAAACATGGTTCCATTAGTGAATGAAATCCACAACAGTTAGTTTAGGCCACGTAGGAACGTGTAGACTGGCTTCCTGGTTGAGGTCCTCGGGACGGTAGAAACCAATAGTTGGAAACAATTGGCGATGTATCTCAAAATCGTTGTCCATTGATGCATCCACTCCCTGTGACTTATGATTTCCAATGAAAGTATATTGTTCTTCGTTATTACTATTCCTTTGTCTCATACCTCTGTTTACTGTCCCTATTATGCATTTCTTTTACTTACTTCTCTTGCTTTGTGTGCTACAAGGAGGGAGTGTGGCGACTTGAACTGGTGCACATATGTGCAAAGTTCTATGTCGAAAACAGACAGTTTGGTACTCAATGTGGAATTGTGGTTCATTGGTGTAAACTTTAAACCATCTTTGGTCACGGAGACGAAACCTACTCCACTATAAAACTACCTGGGTAGTAAGACTTCAGTCCACCTCTCAAAATGCTCTCATTTGACCACGCGTTCATAGTGTAATGACAGAAGAAAAGGGTCAGACAACAGATCGTTTATTGATAAAATCAAGAGATACTTATAGATTTTTATGTACATTATTGTCAGCGGAGAAGCAACCTCGTCTGATTGGCTTGTGACCGTTTCTTAGAAGGTTAAGCCATATATCTGCGGATCATTTCACACGTTAACTCTGCTGTGATTGGTTCTTGAGTTCCTCAAGGTTAAGCTTTGTTATTGTGTTTTTTTTCTCTCATAACCCTTATTCGGGACGTGAACATTGACGTAAATTGTTGTCTACAATTTTGGCTTGTTTTCAGCCAGCTCTCACGACAATAGTCTCTATCAGCCAGGTAACTTCTATTCACTATTTCATATGGCGAAAGTCTTTCTCAGAGAAGTGAAAGAGGGAATGCAGGCTTACCTAGGGCAGCTGAAACATCCTTATTCCAAACTTATAGTGTATATATAGGCTCCAGAATCCTAAGGGGTAGAATTGTGTTTTATTAAGGTGTTTTGGCTACCAGAAACTATTATTATTGCTGACGCTAGCTTAGCTTATGCTTGTGTAGCTTCAACCCTCTCTTCTTATATTCTAAGACAGCTCTGGTATCACTCGAATTTTTCAGATGTCCGCATGAACAGGTGTTGAATCATTCCTATTACACGTGTTGTCTCTCAGTTGATTCGATAAACAAAGCTTCTGTTATCAATCCTGCTCCCTCCACCCTGCTGTGACATTATATTTTAAAACTGTCATCCTATCCCAACATCCTATGCTGTATGGTTGTGTGTAACTGCATATAGTGAGTGGTATAGCTGAGCTATTCTCCAGATTTCTTATCTTATTTGGGTCAGCCAATCTAGATTTAGCTGCTTGGTTTCTCGTGCTCTGCTAGTCTGAGTGCACTTTTTCTACTAATTTTGCGGTGGTGTGATACGGACAGTGTGTTCAAACGGAATATTATTCTCACACATTCCCACAGTTCACAGCATTAGCAACAGAATACGATATATCTATTTGAATGTCTCTCGAGTGGTTTTGCCACAGGATGATACTGCATGCCCAGTCTAGTCTCTCAAGAGGTAGGGATAAGTGTGTTTGGTTCTCCTGAAAACCAATACTCAGTCAATGGGTGTACCACTATATATGTAATAGACAAACTAATATGGAATTACTTACTACCATAGTGCCTAAGCCTTACACATATATATTAATACTACACAGTTTCCTCTCTAATATACTAATGTGACTTCCTTCTCATACCCCAGGAAAGTTATACAAGTTGGATTAGATTGTCGTAACGGAGCATGAAGGCGTCGGTAGATCAGCTGTAAAATACTCGCCAACCATGCAAAGGGTCTGGAGTTCGATTCCTGCTCGGCACAGACCTTTACTTTCCTTAGGCCGTCGGCAGCCCTGTAAAGAAGGAAGGTTGGGCGTGAGGTTGGCCAATCTACTGGGATTTCAAAGCTCACAACATTTCTATCTCTGTGTTCCGTTTGGAACGGGAAGGAATAAAATTAAGAAATAAAGGGGAAGCAAAGTGTGCATCCCATCTGTGTTTGTGTGCTCATTGGACGTTTACCTTGAGGTTACTTGTATAATGGTGGCTAGCAGTGGGATCCGGAAGCACACACATTTGGCGTTTCAACCGATTCGTAATGATTGGGTTTAATTATCATTTACTGGGATGTGGGGGTGGGAGTGGGATGCAAGTATATTCAGCTGACGAGTCTCATAATGGGACAGAGTGTGATTTTCGTCAGCCGTCGTCACTGGACAACTATCTTTTTTTCATTTTAGTCATGTTGTTTCTTCATACTTTTCTCCTTATTGTTTCTCTCTTTTCTTTTCTTTTCTTTTTCGTTCATAGATTGATGGGAATTCTCTGAGTGGCATCTGTTCAGTTGGTTTAATCAATATATGGGCACGTGTCGGCCTCTTGTTAATTCCATTCACATTATCCTTAGGGATTAAAATCTTTTATTTTATTCAATTAATACATCAATTCACAAGATTACGTCATAAATTCCGTGTGTCTTCATTTCGTGTTGATCGTGAAATAGCTCAACGTTTGGTGAGATATTCTTTATTCTATGGTAAGTTGTATTGAATTCCACTATTTCATTGCTTGCTAAGCCGCCGGAATGGTTGTTCAGTGTGGTGATAATGTCCTCTGACTGATTGTAGCACCATCAGGTGATGCGAGTTGTAATCGCAGAAGGGATATGAGTTCCTTTAAGACTGCGAATACACCTTGTTGACTGACTGGTGAATGGCCAACTAGCAGCAAACCTAACTCCAAAGCTTCGTACCCATTGATGGCCTCGAACCACATAACAACGAAGTCTAGTCATAAATGGTGTAGATTATGCTGCTCTGTTAAGCATGTGAAACTTTTTCTGATTGTTTTGTAGCGACAGAAGACAACAGTCAGGCAACCGATCGTTTACTAAGAAAATAAAGAGATATTTATAGATTTTTATGTACATCATTATTAGCGTTATTGTTAGCAGAGAAGCAACCTCTTATGATTGGTTGTTTTCTTGCTGAAGGTTATTCTGTCATCTCTTTGTGACCATTTCTTAGAAAGTTAAGGCATATATCTGCTAATCGTATCCACCCACGCTAAGTCTGCTGTGATTGGTTGTTGAGTTCGTCAAGATTAAGCCTTGTTATTGTTTTTTCTCATGACCCCCAGATTCGGGAAGTAAACAGCATTGACATGAATTGTTAGTTGCGATTTCGGCTTACAGGCAGCTCTCAACACAGTGTTTTTTCCTTGTTCGAAAATATCTCATAATCTCTGATGCCTTGTGCCGAATTTTGAACGAGACAGGAATAAAACTAGCTCCTGACAGCCTACAAATTAACTTAGAAATTGATTTATATCTGTCGAGTAGTCCTGTACAGTCCTTTAATATCTTGTAATGATTTTGAGTCAGATACATAGGTCAAAGTATCAGGCTGCGGTGAATTAGAATTGGCGCAACATAAAAACTCAATGAAATTTAGACTAGCAGATCCTAATTAAGATAAGAAGTCAAGAAAATAGCTCAGCTATAGCACCGTATGCAGTTTTACACATAACCTTAAAGTAAAATGAGGCAAAATGACGGTCTTAAAATCGAATAATTCAACGAATCGAATCAATTAAGAATACATGCAAATAAGCGTGATTCAACATTTGTCCACCTGGATATCTGGAAAGTCCAACTACCCTTACAACAAATATTAGAATTCCAAGACGTGTGTTTTTACCACCAACCAGTATCAAGCAAGTAACCTTGAGTTATTGCCCATAGAAATATATCTAGGCATTTGTTAAAGGACTTGATCTATCGAAATTGAGGCCGATCAACCGAGTGCAAATATATCAGTAGGTAAACACAAAGATAAATAATTTCAAGTCATACTCATTACATAAGAATTAACCTAGTGAGATAATGGTTTCGCGTTCTAAGTGGTGCGGATACTGGGTTCGAGTTTCAGTGGGGAAACCATCATTCACTGGGGAATGCAATTACGAGCGGATGATGAGCTTCATATACGACGAAACACACTTTTCGAATTTCACTGCTAGCCACCATCAAACAGGAAAATTATGGCAATTTTATGTTAAGGTTTACATTTGGTTCATCGCTTCCTGCCTGTCTTCGCCCTTTTCTTTTATCTAAAGCAGAGTTAGACGGCGATCAAAAGATCCCACACAGATATATAATCTAGTTCGTATTCTCTCACTAATTATCGGCATATTCATTATCAAACTATCGCAATCACTATCAATTAAATAAACACAAAAAAAGCACTGAGCAAAGAATATTTTTCTTCGATAAATTCCTGTTCTTCAGCTTCTGCAGTTATATATACATAATCCTCAAGGAACTGGTGAAGTTTCGCGAAGTTCCTTGATAAAAACATGAATTTACCACCCAGACAACTTTGTATGGCGACAACTCTGAGAAGACCTTGTTCTCCAGGACTTCAGTACCTTGGTGATAACAGTAGTGAAGTAATAAGACAACTGCTCAAAGAATGCAGTAAAAAAAGCATTCAGTGTGGAGCAGATGTATAGTTTCTTTTCACAACTACTCCAAGGTTTACATTCGAGGAATGAGGATAAACTACCTGGTTACGCTTCCTCATGTGTATCTATCAGTTTGATTGCTCGTGTGGTGCTAATGATACTGGGCATACAATTAGGCATTTTTATCATCGAATTTCCGAACATTATCTCCTGAATGGTTAACCGAAAGGTCTATTCGTAGTTCTGTTTTAGCTCAAAGTTATCTACCGTATTCCGCTTAATCTTAATTTCACTTTACCAGTTCGTCTTCTACACATATAATGATACTTTGGATGGACACTATCGATTGCCTCCAACTATCTAATATCATCAAATCAATGTGCACTGTGATGTTAAGCTACCTAGAATAGTGGACGCATTGAAAACCTGACTGATAGAATTCAATCTGTACCAAAGAAAGGCCTAGACACACATCACACTAGTTACTGGCTAGTGTCCAATGAAAGTATCGAATACAGTCTCCTACAGGAGGTCAATCGTCTCTGACTGCAGCACTGTCTGGTGACGGAAGACTGCAGATACGTCTAGCTGACTGGTGAGTGCCAACTAGCATGAAACCTAGGTCAGGTGAGGCCTTCTATAGCCGATTGCCTCCAACCATATAATAACATATATCTGAAGCTGTCAGAATCCGTCTGAGGAAGCTCAAATGTTGTGTGTTCAGAAGTTGGTCCTAGGAACGTTTTTCTTACCTTGGCCATCGTTGTTATTATTATTTTTATTATTGCTCTCTTGGGTTCCTAGTGGAACATAAGGCTTCAACTGCTGCACGTCTACATTTGCTTCTGTCTTCTTCTGTACTGTACTTTTCACCTGCATACATGTTAGTCCATACTCTTTCAACTCCTCTTCATACGGTCTCCTCCTCCATGTCACCCTTGGACGTCCCGCACGCCGCTTCCCTTTCGGGTTCCACTCGATGGCTTGACGCGCGATGTCACTTATCATTGTAAATATCTGATAATCTCCCTATCCTACCTAATCTATTTGCAAGTTATTAATCTTTTAAACTTTTTCATTGTTCTACCCTTTAATTGTTGCATTCATTTTCTTAGGCGTATTATCACACTTTCAGATGCTTTTCAACTGTAATCTATTGATCTTAGTGACACACGATCTCATTTAGACACAACCTTAATGTTGTCTCAACAATAATAGTAATCCTTCAACTGTTATCTACCTATGTAACTGTAGAACCTAAAGAACAGGAATTTATCAAACGGAATATACATATTATAGAATTTGTAGGGATTCCTGAGGGGGTTAATCATTTCAACTATTAGATTTGCGTCACGAATCACTATCAGTTGGAGAATCATTAAGAAAAATATCCAGGTGCACTAAACACAGTTGTTTCGTCCCATTTCACAACTCTTTGGCAGTGAACATACAACATAACCCCCCCCCCACACACACACACCAAGGATGAAACTCGAAATCTTCAAGTTATGAGACCAAGCTTGTTGACCATTCACAGGCAATTTCGGATATAATTCAGTGACCCTCGAATTCTAACTTTGTCAACTCGTGGTAGAGCGCCACCACTGTCACCATCGATGCTTTTGCGATGAGCATCCGCTTCACACTGACACATGGTGAATCCCACTAGTCATGACGTCTCACTGCAGTCTCAGGAAATTCAGCCAGTAGTCATCCACCAGTGAGGTGGTAATTGTTATATTTAGATTATTGGATTGTTGATTAGATTTTTGTCACGAACCGGCACTGATAGTCAGAGGGTGATCATTGAATGGTCAATGAGCTTAGTCGCATAACCTTGAAGGTCCCGGGTTCAATCCCTGGTGGGGGAATTATGCGTGTAAACAACCAAGGAGTATCAAAATAAAACGAAATGGCTATCCAGGGCTCTCTGATATTCAATAATTTCTCTCCCAGATTTTCCAGTGGTTCTCTAACCAATGTCAGGTTATGATGAAATCCTGTAAACAGTTGAATTCCTGCAAACCAACACTTGAATATTAATTTGATACTCACTAGCGACTAGCCCTATTCAAATAGGCATTCACCTGGGTTCTAGTTAGGGTACAGCAGGTTGGGTGTGATGACAAATACTCATCAGGTATGACACTGTCTAGTGTCAGTCGTTCTATATCGTGAATTCATAGAAGTTGGAATTCATGGGCTGGCCATTGGATTGGCGAATCCCAGTAGCTTAATGCTCTACATGCTTGCCTTGTAACCTGAAGGTCCCTGGTTTGAACCCTGGCGGGTTGATCTCTGACGAAATCTCAGCACGAATACAAGGGGCTCGTTACGCATTTGTTTGTTTACGCCGACTCTGGCGTAGACGAGATGTTCGACTATCGACCAAAGGGCGGGTGTACTGCTCGTCAGTCCGCTCCGTCCTCCTTTATGGCTGGCTGTGAGACGTGGCCATTGAGAGTGGAAGGAAGACATGAAAAGACTAGCTGTCTTTGATCATAGGTGCCTGCGTTCTATTTCCTGTGTAAAGTGGCATAATAAGGTGAGCAACATGGAGGTTAGGCGCAGAGTTCTAGGTAAACAGGGGAAATCAATCGACGAAGTCGTGAAGCTACAAAGACTGAGATGGTTAACACATGTGTTACGTATGCCAAGCCATCGCCTCCCTCGACGAGCAATGTTAGCGGATATAGGGTCAGGCTGGAAAAAAGCTAGCGGCGGTCAAACAAAAACTTGGCATGAGTCAATGAAATCCACAACAGTTGGTCTAAGCCACGTAGGAAGGTGTAGACTTCCAGGCTGGGGTCCTCGAGACGGTAAAAATCAATGGTTGGAAACAATTGGTGACATGGCTCAAAACCGTTCTCAGTGGCGCAGATGCATCCACTCCCTGTGACTTATGATCTCCAATGAAACTGTTTTGTATTTCTTTATTACTCCTTTGTCTCACACCTCTGCTCACTGTTTCTATTATGCTTTTCTTGTACTTTCTTCTCTTGCTTGCTTCGCGTGCTACACGGAATGTGGCGACTTGAACTTCCGCACATTTGTGCAAAGTTCTATGTCGAAAACAGAGAGACAGACTGGCAGTGGATGCGTACTTCTGAAGAGTTAAACTAGGCTGACGAAACACCTGGCTGTGTAGTACTGCTTGGTGGTTTTCCAATGGTTCTCAGACCCATTTCAGCTCATGACAAAATCCTGTACACAATCAAATCAAATCCTCGCAAACCAACACTTGAAAATTTTATCATTGAAAAGAATATATTTTGCTCAATCTTATGTTTTTCATCTCCTCCTAATTGTCTAAATGGAGATTTGTTTTCGCTACATCAATTGAGTGATTGCTTATTCAAGTATTGGTTTGTAGGGATTTGATTGATTGTTTACAGGCTGTAGGTAGTTACCTGGGGGTTCTAGTGAGAAGTCGTGTGACCAGTAGGGTGCAGCAGGTCGGATGTGAAGACAAATACTCGCCGAAGACATTGGCTAGGGGTCGCGCTGTATCGTGAATTGGCAGAAGTTAGAATTCATGGACTGGCTGGTCATTGGATCGGGTCCCAGTGGCTTAATGGTCTACGAGCCTGCAAGCCTTGTAACCAGAAGCTTCTGGGTTCGAACCCAGTTGGGGTGGCTGCGTACTGATGAAGAGTCCCAAACTAGGACAACAGAAACAGCTGGCTGTCCAGTACTCCAAGCTAGTTTTCCAATGTTTCTCTAACTAATATCAGCTCATGATGAAATCCTGTAACCAATCAAATCCCTACAAAACCAACACTAGAATATATTTTGGTCAGTCTTATGTTTCTCGTTTTGCTCCTAATTGTCTAAATGGAGATTGTTTTCGCTACATCAATTAATTAATTGCTTAACTGAGTCATCATGAACATCGTTATCTATTATTTATAAAATTTACATCGATGGCCACTTTTTTTTTGCCAAATATTAGACATAACAATGTGTGTAGTGTAGGTTGAATTCACAATGGATAAGCTGTCCAACAATTTACGCTTTATCCTTCATATCATATGTATTCAAACATGCTTACACACACACACTCACACACCCTAAGTATCATTGGAAATACATACCTTCCTTCTAATGTGTTTTCGTTTTTTTCCCTTTTTTTTTTATTTATTCAGGTTTATTTTTACTCTTCTTATTGAGTTTATGGTTATTCTCAATATGTATACATACTTATTGGTACATGAATGAACCTGTTTGGTTAGAATCCCAACGACTTTTATTCTTGTAAGTTATTGATTAATTAATGTGTTATTTGTCATTTTTGTGGGATTTTGCTGTTTGTTTTTATGCTATTTTCTATGATGATGATAAGACTTATGTGAGAGTATTCGTGAGTTGACAGACTGTTGTTGTTTGTTGATGGAGATGACCAAGAAATCTATGCGTGCGGTTATTGGAAGTGTGTGTAGGTGGCTGTTGTTACCCTGCTGCCCTACACTATGAAGGTTGATTTCATCTTTGATAACCTGAAACAGATGTGTCACATGGTCGTAGAACCCAAAGGATAAGTGTTTGATGACGGTCATATACGACCTGTTTGAGATCTTTCTGGCGAGCTCCGAATTCAATGAGGAGCGAAAGCTGCACAAAAGGAAACTTACTAAAAGTCTCCGCAAGGACCGTGAACAGTGGTGGGTGACAAAGGCAAAAGAGATGGAAAAAGCATCGGCGATAGGCAACACTAGGCAACTCTTTAGACTCATCAGGGAAACGGGTGGGAGAAGGCAAATCATAAGTGAGACTATTTCTGAGAAAAATGGCTCCTTAATTAGCTCTCAGGATAGACGCCTTGAACGCTGGAAAGAACACTTTGAGGGACAATTTAACTTGCCTACAGCCACACTGAACCTCCCCACATCCACACACACCCGAATGGGATATAGACACTGGTCCGCCGTCTGTAAGTGAGGTCACAAAAGCTATCAGTAATTTGAAACGAGGCAAAGCGGCAGGACCCGACGGAATTATTCCGGAGGTGTTTAAATATGGGGGTGACATACTAGTTTGTAGATTAACTGAGGTACTAGGCAAAGTCTGGGAATCAGAGACAGTACCATCAGACTGGGGTAAGTCACTTATTATACCGATATTCAAGAAGGGAAACAAGTCCTCGTGTGATAATCATAGGGGGATCAGCCTAACGAACATAGTCTCTAAAATCCTAGGCTCAGTAATCATGCATAGACTAAGCAGAACTCGGGAGGAACAGACAAGGGAAAATCAAGCAGGCTTTAGACCAGGTAGAGGGTGCATAGATCATATCTTCACTCTTCGACAGATTCTAGAACATAGACACACTTTTCGGCGTCCAACAATTGTCATATTTCTTGACTTGAAGGCGGCCTTCGACTCCGTGGATCGAAAGGTACTATGGCAATGTCTGACTGTGAAGGGAGTGCCAAGAAAGTACATTGCACTAATCAAGGCACTCTATTCAAACTCACGTAGTCGTGTAAGGGCTTATGGGGAATTGTCATCTGAATTGGTAACAACCAGTGGTGTCCGACAGGGATGTCCACTTTCCCCATTTCTGTTTAACTTCATCATAGATATGCTAATGGAAGTATCCTTAACTGAACGTAGTGACTTAGGAATCGACTTGTTACCAGGGAATAGTCTTATGGACTTAGAATATGCAGATGACATAGTCCTGTTAGGGGAGGATGCTGACAAAATGCAGAGTCTTCTGAACACCTTGAGCAGCAATCTTCGTATGTTTGGCATGCGATTCGCCCCTGCAAAATGTAAGATGCTGCTACAGGACTGGACCACGTCAACTCCTAACTTAGTGATAGGGAGTGAAGTGATAGAACATGTTGACCACTTCACCTACTTGGGAAGTTGTATTAGCACCAACGGACTGATTGGCGATGAAATCTCAGCACGGATCCGAAAAGCTCGAGCTGCTTTCGCTGACTTACACCATCTCTGGCGTAGGCGTGACATCCGGTTATCAACCAAGGGACGTGTGTACTGCTCATCAGTTCGCTCCGTCCTTCTCTATGGCTCTGAAACATGGCCAATACGCGTTGAAGACATGAAAAGGTTGACTGCTTTCGATCATAGATGTCTGCGATCTCTGTCTCACGTTAGGTGGTTTCACAAGATAAGTAATGTTGACGTTAGGCGTAGAGTGTTGGGCAAAGAGGGAAAATCAATCGACGAGGCTATAAAGGAGACAATAGGTGACATGGCTCAAAATCGTTGTCAATGGCCAGCGGAGATGTATTCAGTCTCTGTAATCTTTAATATTCCTTTCTACCATTACCCATTCTGTTTCACTCTTATACTTGTCAAACTATTGATTCTCTTCACTCATCTTCTTGTCTACCTCTGTGTGTTATTTGGAACGTGGCAAGTTGAACTGGTGCACTTCGGTGCGAAGTTCTATGTTGAATCCAGACAGACAGACAGACAGTTTGAGATCTTACCGCCAGCTATGGACGGCCTTTAGGTAAGTTAGAATGTAAAATTTTCGGAGGCGACCTTTTCTAACCTTGTCCCGCTTCTCTAGAGCAGTGAGGCAGCATAGCTGACATCCTGGTCACCTAGGGGGAACATCTTACTGCTGTCAGATCCCTATTTGCCTGCAGTACGACTTCGTCCATACCGTCAAAAACTTGCACTATAGTGGTAACTGCTTATAGTCTAACCGCTGTCATCCAAACAATCTTTCTCGCAAGGTAGGATCTACAGGAATATTGGTTCTATCCAATGTAGCTCTAAGTAGTGGCGAAATTCGAACTAATAGCCTCCGTAGGGACTAGTAACTATGATTACCATTAATAGTATATCTTGATATTTCGAAATTATGAAGTAGATTTGCAGCTCAGGTGGATGATACTGAATTAGTTGTTTTCTCTGAGCTGGCCGGTTGATTGGATTACGAATCTTTCATCGTCCCGCTTCTAGACAGCATTGCTTCAGTGCAGGTTTTAGTATGAAATGTACCCATTTAAATTCTTCACGAATGATGTAATTGTATCTGCTGGCGACCACTGTCGTTATTAGTTGCTAATTTACATTTCTATCAGTGGTGTCCATTAGAGAGGCATACCCCGTGTCTCCATTTCTGTTTAATTTTATCATAGATATGTTAGATAAACTTAACCGTAACTGAATTCAGTGACTCAGAGATTGACTTGTTACTTAGAACATGTGGATGATATAGTCCCCTTCTCCTAAGTGAAGACGCTGAAAAAATGCCTGGTCTTCTCAACACCTTGAGCAGCGGGAAATCTTTGAATGATTGTAATGTGATTCACTCCCTTTGTGAAATAGAAGATGATGCTACAGGACTCAACTGGACTACATCGACTCACTTCTAGCTTGAAGATAGGCAGGAGTGAAGTGGTTGGTGGAGCGTGTTGACCACTTCACTCACATATTTGGGGAGTTGCAGCAATCTACCCTAGAGGGTTGATCAGTAACGTAATCTCAGCATGAATACAGAAGGTTTATTTGGCATTTTTCAACTTACGCCATCTCTGGTTTAGTAGACGTGATATCCGCCTGGCTGTCGACCAAAGGACGTGTGTACTGCTCAGCAGTTCGCTCCGTCCTCCCCTCCTTTATGGCAGGCTGTAAGTGAGACGTGGCCATTGAAAGTAGGAGATGTAAAAAGGCTAGCTAGCTGTCTTTGATCATAGGTGTCTGCGTCGTATCTCACATGTTAGGTGGTATAATAAGGTGAGCAATATTGAGGTTAGGTGTTGGTCAAGTGCTAGGTAGGTGGGAGGTGAAATCCATCGGTGAGGTTGTGAAGTTACACCGATTGACATGGATGGTTAGGACATGTGTTACGCTTGCATCTCTAGCCATGGATCGCCTTTCTCGACGGGCGATGTTATCTGACATAAGATCAGATTGGAAAACAGTTAGCTAGTGGTGGTCAAACCAAAACATGGCTTCATCAATCATTGAAATCCACAACAGTTAGTTTAAGGCAGCCAACCACGTAGGGAGGTGTAGAATTTGTGACTAGTTGGGGTCCTCGGGATGCTAAGAACCAATGAGAGCTGGAAACAGTCGGTGATATGGCTTAAAATCGTTTCAATGGCTGGTGCAGATGCATTCAATCTTTGTGATATATAATATTTTATAAAAACCTGCTGTTCTTCCATATTACTATTCCTTTTGCCTCACATTTCTATTTATTATCTCTCTTTTTTTGGAATCTGTCTTTACTCTCTTCTCTTGCTTCGTATGCTACGTGGAGGGAGAGTAGCAACTCAAACTGATGCACATCTGCTCAAAGTTCTACGTTGAAACCAGTCAGTCATACTCATCGGTAATACACACATACTGAGGTTCGAACTCCAGAACCTTCCGGTTACAAGAATATCGAGCTCGTAGACCATTTAGCTACTGAAAGCTGACTCAATGGCCAGCCCATGAATTCTAACTTCTACCAATTAGTGGTATTTAGCACTACCACCAACTAAGCAATTTTACATTTTGTAGTGAGTCATTAGTGGGCACCCAAGTTGATTTTCAGGTAGTGGCTGAATGGTTAAATGACATCGTCTTGTAAGCTGGAACTCCTGGGTTCTATCCCCCGTGGGGTCATTTGTTCGTACAATTGAAGAGTTCAAATCAAGGACGAAAAAGCTGCTTATTACTACTCATTTTCCGGCGGTTCTCTTAGAGAAAAGACGCATTCAGTGGAAAGTTAGTTTTTACAGCTAGTACGTATATATCTAATACAAAGTCCTAGCGGCAGAAGAAACGTTTTCGTAGCCGTGTCATTATACTATTTGAGTTCTAGATTAAAATTAAAATATTCCAAAGAAAATTATTATAATGCAGAAACGCTTATCGGAGATAGGATCTTGGGCGAAATTAAGTAAATTGAGTGACGTAATATATAACCAGAGGAATCGACTACAGTTCAAATAAAATTGAAAGAAGGTTAAGTCAAGTCCAGTGTTATAAAGAGTAAAGAGGTGGTATTAGTGCGAAAAAGGAGAGAGAACCACGAGTCAGTTGTTTAAACCAATCAGGGTTTATTTTAGGTCCTATGACTGAGGAAATGCCTTCTGTTTGTTGAGTTCAGGATTTTACAGTATTCGCTTGAATGGCCTTTGCGGTTTGGGGAATTATTGGACAGCTGTTTCGTCTTATTTTGGGATTCCTCATCGGCGCGCACCCATGACCACCTCACTGTGGGTCGAACTTAAAACCTTCTTCAGGTTAAAGTACCAAACTCGCTGACAATTCAAGCACTGGGACAGAATCTAATGGCCTGTGAATTTCAACTTCCGCCTGTTCGCAGTATGCATAACATAACCGCTAAACGGTGTCATTGGCGAGTATCTGTCGTCACATCACCTGACTTGGTGCACCCCGCTGGTCACGACTTCTCACTAGAACTTTAGTCAAAACTTCATTGTATAGGGTCAGTCATTAGTAGTGACCATTGAGTTAGTTTTCAAGTGTTGATTCTCAGAGATCAACTCTTTGATTCCCTAAAGCAATTATACCTGTTATTAGAAGGTAATTGGTGGATGGTGACTAGCAGTGAAATCTAGGATGCACGTTTCGTCCTGTTTGGGACTCATCAGGTGGATGCATCCGTATTCTGCAGTGAGTGGTGGTGTTCCTACGGAGGCTCGAACCCAGTGCCCATAATTTCAACGCCAAAGCTTTATTCACTAAGCCACTTGGATAACGCTTTGGCGTTTGAAACTATAGGCATGGGTTCGATCCTTCGTGGGAACACCATCAATCACTGCGGAATGCAGGTACATCCAGCTCCAGCTAGAGGACGATCCCAAATAGGACGAAATGCGCATCCTAGCTTGATTCCACTGCTAGTCACCATCCACAGTTATCTTCTAGTTACATGCCCAGACATCGTCGAAGCTTCTGCACAAGAAGCCAACAGATATGTCAACCTGAGACCGAGCATTTCTGTGCAATCAATCGACGAGAAAATCTAAGAGAATTCAATTAAATAACTATACCTGTTGTTTAAAGTTTATCTTAATTTTCCGTTTGCTTCTCTTCCAAAATATTATTAGATGTCGAATACGTTATCGTTTGTTGGGATTGGACGAGGCAGCCGCTGGAAATGTATGCATTAATACAGCATCATCGTATGACTTCATCATACACCGTCTTCTTCTTCTTCGTCTCCCTTTCTTTTAAAAGTCTTCCCAACATAAATGATTCACACATTTTAAATAGTCCAAATAATCCACAGTCACTATCTCCAGCATCGTCAACATCATCATCGCCATTTTCAGATCCTCAGCATTCTAAATATCAAGTAATGAAGCAGTTGAATCAACCAGCGGAGGACAGTGAAGTTGTCATTACCTCAATGTATAATTCACATTTAAATTACCTACCCATAGAAGAGACATTAATACACAAACCATCGGTTGGACCAATCCTCCTACATTTATTCATTTATTTTGCTATTAATCTCTTATATAATTCAATGTGTCTACTTGATCCATCAGTTAAGCGTAGTTGGTGGTATACTGTGAAAAGGTAAGTGAGCTTTCTGGAAGCAGTTTTACCATATTATATCATAATTATTGTCCCCTTGAGTTCTTAGTGGAACAAAGGCGGCTTCAACTGCACGTCTCCACTTGCCACTTCTGTCTTGCTTCTTCTGTACTTTTCACCTGAATCCATGTTAGTACGTTCATACTGTTTGAACTCCTTTTCACACGATCTCCTCCATGTCACCCTTGCACTGACGACCCACCCGCCGTTTCCCTTTCAGGTTCAAATCGAGCAATGGCCTGACGCGCGTGCGATGTCACTTAGCGGCCTCCTCCATCTCCACTTTCTCCTGCGATTGGTTCTTGCTTTGTTTCTTCCCATAGTTTCTTGTTGGTGATTCTTCCTGGCCTGGCCATCTGATTTTCAGTATAGAGCGATAGTTGACAGTTGTTGATAAAGGTCTGCAACAGGCTGTTGGAAATATTCTTTGTGACCCACCTACCAAGTTTCTAATCCGTTCTGTATAGGAGAACTGATTGACTTGACGTTTGTATTGAAAATCCGATCGAATTTTGTCATTGATGCTGAGTGACGAAGATTTCCAGATTGGTTTCAGTTGGTTGATGAATGTGTTTCTCGCCTTCCCGATTCCCGCCCGATTTGACATCCTCGTCCGTCCCAGCTGTCTGTAGTTGAGACAATGCTCCCTAGATAAGTGAATGAAGTAACCTCTTTCAAATCCCTCCCTGCGATGGTGATTGGCACTGGATATTGCTGCTGTTGTTGTTGTTGGCTGGTTATGTTCATAACCTCCGTCTTGTCTATGTTCACCTGGAGTCCTGTCTTCGCCGGCTGCTTCTTCGACCAGTTTGTCGGTCGGTTTTTGCTTGTAAGTCTTCGATTTTGTGTGACATCAAACATAAATCATCCACGCGCGAAATTCAGGTCTTCTTGGTTCTCTACGACGGTTCATAGCTTATTATTTATTTATTGTTATTTTTGGCAAGGTTAAACTTTAAGCACCACTAACAGCCAATCAGCGAACGACCTCCAACGAACCAATCACATGAAAGAGGCATTTGTTTTGGTTATGCAAAACGTTTCGGTGGAACATAGGGCTTTTAAGCTACAGCCCTGGTGTTCAGTAGAAGTCGTTTTATTTTTCAGGGAGAGGTGGGGTTGCTAGCCCCAAACCTTCCCTCTTAAGCGGCCTTACTATCAGCTTAGCTAGTGTAGGAGTGCTTCGGCAGGGAATCAAGACTCAAGCCACTTGTGGTGGGGTTGACCAGCGTTCTTCCCTGAACCACAGATGATTCACCAAACTACTTCATGTTAATTCTCAAATATCATCGAAGCGTCCATACTGGGAAACGACCTGTCAGCAAAAACTGGGCATTTTGTCTAATCAATCAAAGTTGGCTTAAAAAGAAATGGCATTGACTAGTTCTATCTGAGATGTTAATCCAACTACCCATCTTCATCTATAGAATTTCTTTTTTATCTTTCTTTCAACTTCTCCTTGCATCCTACAGAATTATATTTTGGTGCCAACCAAAGAAGGCGAAGAAGAACAAGAGGAAGTTTCCATTATCAAACCTTGAAGGTTTCCACTCTCATATGCATCATCATAATCGACACCATCGACGCCATGATCTGGATATCGACCCTATTGACAACGACTATGCTGATGATGCTGATGACGATGATCCTAATGTTGTCGATCATGATTACAAGGCGAAAATCATTGATTATCACGATAAAACTTCCAAGATCCCACCGACAGGAGGAGGAGAAGGAGGAGTAGGAGATATTGCATTCAATGAAAATGATCGCATGGTTAAATCCTATCTAAATCATATTACAATTGGATTTAGTTGGTGGGATCCTGGATTCTTTATTATTCCAACACCGATACTATCCAATTATGATCTATGGATAAAGTGTAGACGACAATTTTATTGGAATAAGAACAGTCAGCAGAAAGAGGAGAAGAAGAAGCGATCCAAGCAGGGCAAAGAGAATATACTCATGTCATCATCATTAAGAGGAACAACATCAACAGTTGCGGCGACGTTACCCCTGCAAGATCCCGAATCTGTTAAGTGCAAGGTGAATCCTACATGTACTATAAGTAATGAGAATGCTGGTACTACTACTAATAATAATAATAATAGTAGTAGTATGTTCGATAATGCTCTCATCAAGAACGATCATGATATAATTAATTTCTGTTTAAATCATGCTATTCAAAATCCAGATCAGCTCAATCAGATTATGATGGATCCATTTGAATCTTTGTTATTGTCAACTGCTGCCGAGGCCGGCGCTAATCATCAGCGAAACTTCTTCAGCAATGCTGGTAGTGGCAGTCTAGAGGATGGATCACCTTTTCATCAGTATTATCAACAAAGCCAGCAGCAGCACCACCAACAACAACAGGCAGCGACACACTCAAAATTACCAACATCGATTAATTTTGAAACAGTCCTTCAAATTCTACGCCAGTTAAATCATCAGTTAATGACAACCGGTGACTCTCAGATAGGAGATGATAAAGCCTTTAATAATATTGTTGGTGATCCGTCAAATGTGACTGCTACTTCTAATGCGACAAGTAATAGCAGCAGTCTGAGTAGTAGTAATAATATTAATAGTAGTAGTAATGGTAATAATACTCAGAAGAATCAAAATCTATCGGGAAATCATAATTTGATGAATATTTTATCTCATGATCCAAATTTGATGGCTTCATTAACAGCTGCTGCCGCTTATGAACATTATCAAAAACAGCTGTCAGAGTTGACCACAGTAAGTGGTGTTATTTTTTTTTTAATATTTTGACATAAATTGAATAATTTTCAAGTATTGATTTTGTTTTTCTAGGGGTTTTTTTGTTTGATTGATTGGAGGATTTCATCATAAGGGAGGACTGGACAGTTGACTGTTTCGTCGGTTTACTTCGGGACTCTTCAGAAGTATGCACCCACCACAGGAGTTCGAACCCAAGACCTTCAGGTTACAAGGCTAACCCGAGCTTGTAGAATATTAAGCCATTGGGACCCGATCCAATGGTGCTGGTTTCGACCCCCCCCTGTGGTGGGTGCGTACCGATGAAGAGTCCCCAACTAAAACGAAACAGCTGGCTGTCCAGTCCTCCCTGACAGGTTTTCCAGTGGCTCTTTAACTGATGTCAGCTCATGATGAAATCCTCCAACCAATAAGGGAATAATCGTTTTTGCGGGACGGGGTTTGGGTATTAGGTCTTTTTCAGAGGGATTTAGATTAAATTATTGATGTAGTTGTCCCAGACAGCTGTTACATCCCTGTGTGGAACTCTCCAGGTGTATTCCGTCATGACTGACTGTGTTTCAACATAGAACTTTACAGAAAAGTGGGACAGTTTAAGTTGCCACACTCGATTTAGGTAAGGAAGCTAGAGAAAGGGAGGAGATAGAATAGATTTTTTTTTTTGACGATGATAAACAAAAAATATAGGTGAAGTGAAAACAAACAGTGAACAAAATGCCGTCATTGTGAATGATTTTGAGCTATATTGTCAATAGTCTACAACTATTCCTAGGACCTTAATCAGACAGTCCACACCTTCTTAGATGGCTCAAACCAACTATCGAAGACTTCGTGAACTGATGTCAGGTATGATAGAGAAGATTTGTAGCTCAGGTGGATGATTTTGAGCATTTTTTAGCATACTTCAAATTGAAGTATGCGCTGAAGATGTCACTCAGTAGGGTGATGAAAGCTTCGCAAATTAACCATCCAGCTCAGGGAATACCAACCACATCAAAACTGATGTCAGGTTTTGTCTGACACTCTTACAACCTAATCCCATGTCACGTAACATTATCCGTTGAGCTAGGTGATGTCAGGGAATGCGAAACATGTGGGCGAACCATCTCAATCGATGTATGTAGCTTCACAACTCTATCGAATGACTTACCCTCCCTACCTAACACTGCGCCTCTCCACAGTATTACTGACCGTATTATACCAGTTAACACGTCAGATAGAACGCAAACATCTGGGGGCATAGATAGTTAATTTCTGTATGTCGTCCATATTTACTGGACATGTCTAATAGCCATACAGGAGGACAGAATGTACTGCTACACTGTACACATACATCCCTTGATCGATAGCTAGCTGGATATAACGTTTAATAGCAAAGATGATGTAAGATGATGAATGCCACCCATGAGCCTTTTGTATCCGTGTTGAGACTCTGTCAGTGATCATCCTGTTGGGGTTGATGCAACTTCCCAAATAAATAAAGTGGTCAACACTCTCAATCACTTCAATCCCTATATGTAAGCTAGAAGTCGGTGAAGATCAGTTCTGCAGCATCATCTTACATATGATGACAAGCGGGTGAATTACATGCTAAAGATTCGGAGATTTCCTCTCGATGTGCATTTTAACAGCGTCTTTACCTTGGAGGACAATATCATCCACATACACTGAGGTGGAGGAACCATCTCCTAGTAACAAGTCAATCCCCAAGTCGGTAATGTCAGTTAGAATCAATTTTATTTGCACAAGTGTGATGAAGTTAAACAAAATTGAAGACAGTGGGCATCCTAAATTGATACCGCTACCTTTCATCACTTCAGGTGACAACTTTTCGAAATCTTATTATTGGTAAATTTTCCCACACAATAGAGTGGGAGAGGGTTACAATTCTAAAAAGTAATCTAGATAGGTGGAGACAGACAGAGGTTGATTACGGAATCCTTATTCATCGAGTCTACACCAAACACATGCAATAGGAATGATTCATTACTCATGCCTGAAATATGGAAAATACTATTACCAATCAAATCAAGCGATGGAAAATAATGGAACTATATAAATGAATTTAGGAAGTCGTGTGATTACCTTGATATGATTATGAGCAGTAGTAATAAATTGTGCTCGAAACGTGGTCATCAGTAAACATTACTGTGAGACTTTATCAAAACAAAATTTACCCATAATGGAATTACACTCTACCACAGTGCAGAAGTTTTATTCTTATATCAATAAATATGACTGTGTTCGAAAATCTGTCGAAGGGTGAAGATGTGATCGATATACTCTTTTCATCACTTAAAGCCTGTCTAATTCTCTCATATTTGTTTCACCTAAGCCCCACTTAATCTGTGCATGACTATTGATGATTATGACCGCATCAGAGATTGAATGTGTTGACCTCGTATCCTATTCAAGAGTTTCACACTAGGATGACACAGCTGTGTCTACTAGTGTGTTACTTGCTTTTTCAATGATCCATGAATAATAATAATAATAATAATAATAATAATAATAACAGCTTTATTCCAAACAGTATTTGTGGTACAGGTATGGAATTTTCAGCGTGCATTACAGTATATTGCATCTAATTACCTCATAAATTATATAAGATTTTTAAAAATCAAAAATACATAAAAATAAAATAAATAAGTTATAAATAAATAAAATAAATAAATATTGAAAATTAAGAAAAAAAACAGCGTAGAGTATTTCATTTCAAACAATGCACCACAGGATTTGGAATATAAGGTTAATGTGTGGTTGTAGATGAGAACAACAGTGTAGTAGTAACGAGGAAAGGAAAACAAAAACTAATGGGACTATTTGTTAGAGTGCCGCAGTAAGTTTATCGTGTCATACCTAACGGATTTCTCATCACATAACAGCTGTGCCAGATATGGTATTGTGGAGTTTTTGTATTTGGTAGTCCTAGCATATAGCCTCCTATAGCTGCTTCTAGTTCTTCCAGATGAAATGCAAGGAGATAGATGCGTATAGAGAGGATGCTCGGGGTCCGACAATATTGTATTCGCTAGTTTCTTACATGACATTATATGTCTATCTACAATAGTGTTCACCAGTTGGTCTAACGATATCCCACTTGCCCTACTAACAGCTTTTAGTGCCCTTCTCAGCGAAGCGAAGTCTTTCTTAAGTAGTCCAGGAAAGACTAATGGGGAGCAGTAAAGGAGGATGGGTAGAATACAAGAATTTACAAATTGAGAAAGCAAAAGCTGCTTTATGCCAGACTGCCTAAATTTCCTAATGTAGAACGTTAAGCGAAACATCTTTCTAGTAACTAGCAAGATGTGGGAAGACCAGGAAAGATCGGTGGAAAAACTCAGCCCAAGGAACTTCACATTAGATGTATTTTCAACCTCTGTGCCGTCAATGAGAGTGGGGCCATGTGAGCTAACTAGTTGCTGTAGGTCACATTTACGTCTGAAGGTGAAATTGACTACCTGACATTTAGACGGATTAAGCTTAAGTCCGTTTGAAGAGGACCACTGACTAATTTCCGACAGAAAGCTATTTAATTTGGAGCAATCTGACTGACAGTTGACAGGCATAGAGACCGAGAGGTCATCGGCATACTTAACAAAAGTGGCTACATCAGAATGTGGCAAGTCATGTAGGAAAAACGAAAACAGAAAGGGAGAGAGAACAGCGCCTTGAGGAACGCCTGCTAAAGTAAGTGAGGTAGTGGAGGATTTTCCATTGTAGACGGTGTACTGCTTCCTTTCAGAAAAATAGGACTGCAACCACTTATTTGTCCAGCTTTCAGCCTGTGTTGCAGCGAGCTTACTTAGCAAGAGAGACCTGGGAACAGAGTCAAATGCAGATGTGTAATCAAGGAAGGCACAGCGAACGTATTTAGCCCCTTTATCTAAACTAGAGACTATGCTATGGTGGAGGACGACAGCGGCATCTAACGTACTCCTACTATCCTCATTCAGATATTAATGGGAAAAGAAACAGGTAGTTCAACGAAGAGGCGGTAAAGTCCTGTTTACAATACCATTTTTTTTTCAACAAGGATGATAGTAACAAAAGTGATGGATTGTTATAATCATAACTCTCTCTCACTTATTTGAGCAGCATCGCCTTCAAGAAAAGGCGGAACGGACAAAGATGTCAAAGTGAGAATCGGAAGGGTAAGATACGCCTTCATCAGCCTGAAACCAGTTTGGAAATCTTCTGCAGTAGTGACTCAGCATAAGGAACAAGATTTGGATTTTCAACACCAATGTCAACTCGGTTCTTCTATACGTGTCAGAAACTTGAAGTACGTGAAGCACGAAAGCGATTTTCTACAAATTTCAGACTTTCATCAACAGCTACCTTCGCTCCATACTGAAGATCACATAGCCAGAAAGAGTTACCAACAAGAAACTCTGGCTGGGAACAAACCAACAGGCGAGAGCCAATTGCTCAACAAGTCGATATGTAGGAGAAAGTGGAGATGGATCAGGCATACATTCAGGAGGCCGTAGAATGACATTGCACGAAATTCAGGTCATTGATCGAGTATGAATCTCGATGTAAGCGACAAGTGGGTGTTGTGGATGTGAGGGTCAAATAGAGGAAATCGTGTGAAGAAGAGATGAGAGAGTTTTTGGTCAGTAGTCTTGGACCCAGCTGAAGAGGATGGCAGAAAACAGAAGAAAGTGGAGATGTGTTTTTGAAGCCCACCTATGTTCCACACGGAACGCAAGGGAATAATAATAATAATAATCAAAGCTGCTGGTACTAATCAATACATAAGACAAGTTGATTAATTGTATTAGAGTCACTTAGTAAGATGAATAATTCTACTAGGCCAGTTGTTATGAGGGCTAGACTGTTACGTTAAAGTCCTAAATAAATAGAAGTTATCTGGAGTTATAAAAAAATCAAACTGGTAGAAAAGAATGCGGTCATTACGATGATATTTGGAGTGATTGTATTGTCTACAGGATTCCACCTGTTGTGTTTCTGAATGCCTAGAGCTCCAACAGTGCAAAAAAGAGACGAAAGCATATTGTCTCTGGCAAGTCGCTATAAACTTTGTAGATCACACTGATGGAGGAGTTTATTGAAACAGAATGACCAGCATTGGCAAGGTGTGTTCAGTTATCGTCCTTTTTGTAGAGCCACTGCTACTTTTCTACACCTATCTATATGTACATAAAAGTGATCAGATCATGCGAAATATTCTTATCCAGATTTCTGTAAATCTGTCGACGACTACATATTGAACACTATGTCGTGAATCGACAGAAGTTAGAATTCAAGAACCATTGGATCGGGTCCCAATAGCTCAATGGTCTACGAGCTCGCCTTGTAACCAGAGGGTCCTGGGTTCGAACCCTGTGGTGTGAGTCCAGAACTAGACTGACGAAACAGCTAACTGTCCAGTCCTCCCTGCCAGGTTTTCCAATGGTTCTCTAACTGATGTCAGCTCATGATGAAATCCTCCATGCAACTATTCTAAGCATTGTTGATTGTCTGATTCGATGTTGGTTGATGATACGAAATCTATATTGGAAGGAAATAAATAATGATGTTTCTAAAAAAATTTATTAGTATTAATTATTTTTTAGTCTGCAATGCTTTTTTCCTTCTTTTTTCTATAGAGTATTTCACGTCGACGAAGTAGGCATAAACGATTGTTATCGAGTCGTACATCACGTAAGTTATTATGATTTCTATCGTTATTATTATTATTATTGTAAACTGTATATAAATTCACCAGATGTCGGTAGAACTCATCAAATGAATACTCTGAAACCTTGTTTATCCTCTTAGGTTCCGAGTAGAACATAGGGCAGCGGTTTCAACAACACATATCCTTTCCATCTTCTTCTCTTTAGCGCCTCTTTGTCTAGCTTCACGCCTGTCCATAAGCTTTCATCTCATCCTTGTCACCTTCTAACCAGCAGCCCAACTCATTTGTTCCTATTCGAGTTCTTCTCGAACTATGACTTGATACGTAGTGCCACTCGACGGTCTCCTCACCGTACGTCCAATCCACGGTGTCCAACTCCTTCAACATATTTGTTGGGTGACATGTGTCATTCATCATTTTACTTACTAGCCTATAATATTTCACAGCTTGTGATACTAACCACTTGTGATGATGAAAGTAGGATTTTTAACACCTTGGTTTATCATTCTCTTGGGCTGTGAGTGAAACATAGAGTTTCAACAGCAGCACATCTCCAGTTCAGTCGGTTCTTTGCAGTCCCTTTTCACTTGCCCCACGACTGACCGACCACCAGCTATCATCTTCTCAAACGATCTCCATGTCCCCCTTCCCCCGGGTCCTATCTATGTATGTTCAAACTGTCGTTTCACATTCACGTTTTACTCAATGATTTCTTTAGTGCGTGTCTTATTCACCTCCATTTTCTCGGCCCATTTGCCCACTATGGAGTGAAGCTGGCAGCTCGTTGATGAAAGGTCTGCAGTATCCTGTTGTAAATGCTTTCGAAGAGGCGGCAAGTCTCTGAACCGTATAGAAGCGTTGACTGACTTGACATTAGTGTTGGAAATCTGGTCAAATGGCTACAGAAACCCATGAATTTCAACTTCCATCAATTCGTGAATAATATAGCGGTAGTGCCACCACCACTACTGAAGAAGGTGTGGAAAGAGGGCAAAGTACCTGCGAATTGGAGGAAAGGCTAACTGTCCGAACTGCCAAAGAGAGGAGACTTGAGCCAATGCAAGAACTATCGCAGAATTATGCTTCTGTCTATCCCAAGCAAAATACTAAGCTGCATCATCCTGGAGAGAATCAAACACGCCAACCTGGATGAGAAACTTCGATCGGAACAAGTTGGATTCAGGAGAAACAAGTCGTGCATCAACCAAATAGCAACATTACGTATCGTCGTTGAACTGAGCTTGGAATGGCAGTCAGCTATCCACCTCCTTCGACAGACAGTGTTGATCGAGAAGTGATTTGGAAACTACTTCGCTACTGCGGGGTGCCATCGACAATTATACATCTCATCCAACAGTTGTACGACAATGCTGCATGTCAAGTAATCCACAACGGGAGGCTCACGGGATCCTCCGAAGTGAGGACGGGAGTGAGGCAAGCTGGCTGTCTATTATCGCCAATGATCTTCCTGATTGCAGTAGACTGGACAATACGACAGACAACAGCGAGCAATGAGGAAACAGGCATAAACTGGACACACACAAAAAACTTGGAGTATCTGGACTTCGCCGATGATATATGTCTGATTCCCCACAAACTGGAAGATACGCAAGGGAAAAGCAACAAGTTGGCAATAGAAGAAACATCAAAGATAGAACTTCAGGTGAACAGAGGTAATGAAGATTCCTTGCCAACACCAACAACAACAGACAACAATCAGCCAGTATAAATGGGAGGAACCTCAAAGAAAAAACGCATCGTCTCAACTACAGGCGGAACTGACGAGGATATCAAAGCGAGGACCCATTGGGAAAGCAAGTCAAGTTTTCATTACCCTCAAGTCTATGTGGAGATCAACAGCACTGCTCAAAATGAAAAATCAGACCCGGATTTTCAACTCCAATGTGAAGTCGGTCCTACTATATGGATCAGAGACTTGGCGCGCGGTCACTTAGGGTACTTCGAACAAACTACAGAACTTCATCAACAGCTACGTTCACTCAATACTACTCCAGATCAGATGACCGGCCAGAAAATATCAGCAACAGGGATCTGTTATAACGAACCAACCTAGCAGAAACCAATTGTGCTACAAATATACAGGAAGAAATGGAGTTACATTGGCCATACTCTGACAAGTGATATCACTCGCCAGGTTGTCAAGTGGAGCCCGAACAGGAAGTGGCGAGTCGGTTGGTCTAGGGTGACATGGAGAAGGTCATGCGAAGGGGAGATGAAATCATGTAGGCATTTGTAGAGCCAGATGAAGACGTTGGCGGAGAGCCAAACTCCATGGAGACGTGCGGCTAAAGCCTTATGCTTCCGTAGGAAATAAAGGAAGCAATAATGATAGTAATAGTATCAGTCACATTAATCAGATTTGTTTTATCCGCTTTATTCATTCCCGTCACCCCTCTCACTCTCTCTCTCTCTCTGGCTTTTCTCATCCTCTAGTTCGTCGACATAGTCAATCACGTAGTTTTTCTACAAATGGTTTATTCCTACCTGGATTAACATCCTCGTCATTAGCAGCCGCCGCAGCTGCATCAACAATGAATTTAAAAGTGAAAGGAACAAGTTCATCATCGACGTGTTCTACAACAGCATCAAAAACAGTTGTTTATCCTCCTGTACCGCCTATTGCAACAACAACAACACCTGCACCAAGTGGTGGTGGTGGTAGTTCTTACAATATATTACAAGCTGCAGCTTCTATGATTTTGGCTGCAGCAGTTGCGTCATCTTCTAATGGTACAAATACAAATAATTTCGCTACTAACAGTAATGATAATTTTAATAATAATAGTCATACGAATAAACGTCGATTAAGTCAATCAGGTTTCAGTGGAATTGATGCCTTCTCTACACATCAGTTGGTGGATAGTTCGAGTAGTACAAATTCAGGTGAGTTATACAATTAATTAACTTACCAGCCATTGGGATTACGAATCACATACTTATTTTGTGAGATTCAAGTGTTGCTTTGCAGGGATTTGATTGGTTTCAGGATTTCATCATGAGCCGTCATCCGTTAGAGAAGTATTGGAATAATAATAATAATAATTTGCTTTATTCCAAAACAGTACTTATGATACAGAATGGAATTTTCAGCATTTTACTACAGTATTGCATCCAGTTAGTACATTATCAATAAATAAAATTCTACATAGATTAAGGGTAATCTCAGTTAGTTATAACAACAATATATTAGCATATCGGTAGCACAGCTAAAAGTGAACAGAATGTTTGAAGGTGTTAGAAAAGTAGATACTAGCATATTTATTGGCGTAAGCCGAAGAAAGAAACAAAGCAGCACATAACAGAGAAAAAAGAGAGAGAAAAGGAAAAGAAAGGAAGGAAAACGTTGTACTTATAAATGATATGAGTTGGAAAGACGAGATCCAGTGGTTCTACTGACTATTTAATAAGTTATAGGTATCACGTCTAATGCTTTCTTCTTTATCGCACAGAACACGAGCTAAGTAGGGTATGGTTGAGTTTTTGTACTTGTTAGTGCGAGCATATAGTTTTCTATATAGGCTTCTGTTTCTGCCTGATGAGATAGATACAAAGGGAGAGTTGTGAATGAAGAGGGTGGTGGTGTAAGTTAGATAGATAGAATGGATTTTGCTCATTTTTCACATGAGTTCGTGTGCCTGTCAACCAGAATATTAACAAGCTGGTTAAATGTAACCCTGTGGCTTACCCTGCTGACAACCTTACCATCCTGAGTAATAAGGTATAGTCTTTCTTCAGTAGCCCTGGAAAAACTAAGGCGGAACAATAGAGAATAATAGGCAGGATGCGAGAGTTAACGAATTGTAGGAGTAAGGGTTAAGTTGTTCCAGAATGTCTTAACTTCTTGATGTAGAAGCTAAAACGGAATATTTTCTTAGAAATCATCAAGATATGAGACAACCAGGAAAGATCAGCAGATAGAATGACGCCTAGGTATTTAACTTCCGACTTGGTGTCTATTTCAGTGCCATCTATGTTGCATACTTCGTGAGTGCTAACCAGTTTGTTTAGGTCAGATTTATGCCTAGACGTGAAATTGACTGTTTGGCGTTTGGGGGGGGGGTTAAGGTGAGACCGTTTTCCTTGGATCACCGGCTGATTTCTGATAAAAAGCCATTTAGTTTGGAGCAGTCACCTTGACATTTGACAGGCAAAGATACAGTTAGGTCGTCTGCAAAATTAATGTGTCATGTAGAAAGAAAGAAATGAGAAGTGGGGAGAACAAAGCACCTTGGAAACCCTGAAAGCCTGTGGATCAGGTCCCAGTGGCTTAATGGTCTACGAGCTCGCTAGCCTTGTAACCAGTAGGTCCGGGGTTCGAACCCTACCGGTGGATGCGTACTAATGAAGAGTCCCAGGGAGTGACGAAACAACCAGTCGCCAGGTAACCACAGGTCTTCCAGAATTATCAGCATAATTTAGTGCATATTACGTTCTATCTTCATCCAGGATCGATCTTTAAGTAAGGTAGCAATTTATGGTATATCATGTATGATCCAGTGCTGTTCGATCTGAAGCATAGAGATTAATCCCTTATAATAGTTTCCCTTCGTCTCGAAGTAATGCGCACACCGGTACTTTGAAGACACCAAATTCAAAATGTACTTGTGTAGTACATTTTGCGACTCCTAGAATTAGAGGAATATATAATACTCAGCAAACAGCTATTATTTCGGTGATTTCATCTTTAAAAGCAGCTGTGCAATCACCGTTATACCCATAAGTTTACATAGATACAATTAATTATTATTATTATTATAACTTAATTCCACATATTGACGAAGGGAGATTAAAGGTGTGAACAGGATGAGCATGGAAGAAGCGAAATGAAATATTGTCACCCTCTCACTGACGACCCACTCCGTTTCGGCCTGGTTTCACTCGACCAATGGCCTGACGCGCGCGCGATGTCACCCAGCGGCGGCCTCCTCAGCGAGTGAGTGTCCAATCCATCTCAATCCACTTTCTCCTGCATAATATTTGTTGGTTGGCGATTGGTTCTTGTTTTGTTTGTTAGTGCCCATAGTGATTCTTGTTGGTGATTGTTTCCGGCCCGGCCATCTGATCTTCAGTAAAGAGCGATAGTTGACAGTTGTTGGTTGATAAAGGTCTTCAACAGGCTGTTGGAAATATTCTTTGTGACCCCATGTCAAGTTTCTGATCCGTATAGAAGAACTGACTGACTTGACATTGGTTTCAGGTGGATGAATGTGGTCATATGCGTGGGATTTAATCATGAGCTGACATCAGTTAGAGAACCACTGTGGTTCTCTAACTGATGTCAGCTCATGATTAAATCCTCCATGCAATCAAACAAAATCCCTACAAAAAAAAACCAATATGCGTGGGAGTTTGTGCATGAATGGAGAGTCAGGTAGTTCAGTGGTTGATTCAAGCAGGTCACCAGTTTGATGCGATGGAACAAGGGAATCGACGACTTGTAAGACTTTGGTAATATGTATAACTCATGGTGTGGTGAGAGCTGCCTGCAAACAAGCTTAAATTGTAGACAACAATTTACGTCAGTGTTCACCTCCTGAATCAGGGTCATGAGAAAAAAAACAATAACAAAGCTTAACTTTGAGAAGATCACTAGCCAGACACAGTGGAGTTAACGTGTGGAAATATGATTCTCAAATATACGTCTTGATTTTCTAAGAAACGGTCACAAGCAATACAGAATGACCTTTCAGCAAGAAAACAACCAATCAGGAAACGTTGCTTCTCCGCTGACAATAACGCGAATAATAATGTACATAAAAATCTATAAATAATATCGGTTGATTTTCTCAATAAACGATCTATTCCCTGGCCTTTGTCTTCTATGATTGCAATGGTAATAATAATAATAATAGTAAGCGCTTTATTCTGAAAAGTTCTTATAAAATGTACAGAATTTTCAGAGGAGTTTTTTACATGATAGTTTCCCTTCGTCCAGGATCTTCAAATAAAAGATTTGATCGACAGTAGGTCGTATGACATACAGTTCTATCTGAACTGAAGCGCAAATCTCTTCTTTTTCTCTTTTTGAGAAATACACGACGACATTTTATTGAATGTCAACTATAAAAAGGTCGGGAGTACATCTTTTGAACCAAGGACACCACTCGGGAACGACCATTTTATGTATTGGATGGGAGAATTGTACCATCGAGGATAACGCCTTTTCCCTCGTGTTTAGTAGAAACTAGTGAATCAGTAAAGTGTAAATGTTTTTAAAATAATCGCCAGAGTAAACGCTACTATTACAGATTATATTTTACTTGATTTAAACAAACTGAATTAGATTTTATTTTAATAAATCACACAGTGTTGTTCATAATCATATCAAGTTACTCACACAACTTATTTCCTTCATTTATATTATTTATTATATCCTTTAATTCCTAGAGGAACATAGGGCTTCAGCCACGCATCTCCATTGCCTTCGGTTTTCTGCCAACTTTTTCACTCCGCTCCAAGTCTGCCCACATGCTTTCATTTCCTCTTCACATGACCTCCTCCAAGTCACCCTCACGCTGACGACCAACTCGCCGCTTCCCTGTCGGGTTCCACTCGAGCGATGACTTGTCTAGTGATATCACTTGATGGTTTCCTCAGTGTATGGCCAGCCAATCCATCTCCATTTCTTCCTGCCTATTTGTTTCACAATCGGTTCCTGCTGGGTGGGTTCGCTCATTTCCAGAGATTCCTGTTTCTGATCTTTTCTGGCCAGCCATCTGATCTTGAGTGGTATTGAGCGAAGACAACTGTTGACTTGAGAGTAATGCAAGCTTGTCCTGCTTTTCCGATTCTGGCTTTGATATCCTCGTCAGTTCCATCCGCCTGTAGTTGAAACGATGCTTCCTAAGTAGATAGGTATATGAAGGAGGTTGTTTCTTTCAGGTTCCCCCCATTTATGCTGGCTGATTGTTGTCTGTTGTTGTTGCTGTTGGCCAGGAATCTTCATCATCACCTCTGTTTTCTCTATATTCACCTAAAGGAAGTCCTATCTTTGATGCTCCTTCTGCCAGCTTGTTGATTTTCACTTGCATATCTTCCAGTTTGTGGGAAATCAGGCATAAATATGTCATCGGCGAAGTCCAGATCCTCCATTTTTTTTGTGCAATTCTATTTTATGCATGTTTCCTCATTCCCCGTTGTCTGTCTCATTATCCAATCTACCACAATCAGGAAGATCATTGTCGATAGTAGACAGCCTTGTCTCACTCCCGTCCTCACTTCGAAGGCTTCCGTAAGTTTCTCGTTGTGGATTACTTGGCATGCAGCATTGTTGTACAGCTGTTGGATGAGATGTATAATTGTCGATGGCACTGCGTAGTAACGAAGTAGTTGCCAAATAGTCAAATAATATCGCATTTTTTCTACTCCTCTGTTATTGTTTTTTTTTTTTCATTTAAAAGCTTTCGGTGGAAGTCAAATATCGTCTGCATCGTTTCGAAGTGCATTAACCAGTGCTGGTATACCTCATCATCATCATCGTCGACGTGACACTAGTCATACTCGACCATCGTCAACATCTGAAGCTGCATTGATAACTAATAATTGTAGTACTCTTAATGAATTAAATCAGAACAGTGGTTGTGTTGAAGACTCTACCGTTAAGAGCATCAATAGTAACAATAATAATAATAACATCAATAATATGCATAATATGGGCAGTCGTATGTCCTCTTTGCACTCAATTTCCTGTGCTTCATCATCTGGCGCTGAATCGTATAATTCATATCGTCTGTTAATTAATCAAGCTGGTGCAAGTTGGCGAGAATTATGGCGTACGCGTATGCTATTAATGCATGTATTACGTTGGGCAGAGAATGTTGCACCGTATATGCAAACAAACAATTCTGGTCCCATGAATAATGCTAATAATGAATGCAATAATGAATATAAACAATCATCACAGACAAATTTGTCAAATTATGATGCACCACAAGAACAGAATGGAGGCAATACTATGAATTATGTTAAAACGACTGCTTCTACGGATAATAATTCAATTTCTGTTGGTGATTGTACCAGTACTACTGTTAATAATGTTCCTAGTATTAGTAGTAGTATGAATCATCCACAACAACCGTCAACATTTACTCCAAAAACTCTTGATGCTGGGAATGATTTCAATGCTCAGTTAGTTCAATTGATAATGTCTTTAATTGAACAACAGCAACACCAACAACAATTGCAATCACAATCATCAGTTACTTCTCCGAATATACCGTCTGTTAATCCATTAATGCAAGCTAGTAATAATGGTGTTGTAGAGACAACTGGAAATATCGCAGCCTTTGGCAGTGGTAATAATAATCCATTCATTGAACCAGCACATCAATTGACGTCGATGGATCCAATGATGGCGGCAGCGTTTGCTGCAGCTACAGCGGCGGCGACTGTTGCTTTAAAGCAACAACAACAGCAGCAGCAACAGCGTCAATCATCCTTTTCTAATTTAGCGTCATCACCTACAGTCAATAGTAGTGGTAGTAGTGGTGGTAATACTACTACGACGACGACGACGATAACGACTACTCCTCCTACGACTGTCATCACAATGACTCCTAATAATTGTGCGCAAAGGAATCAGTCGTTTTCTTCTGGTACTACTCCTTATCATCAATATCCATATTTGGCTAATTCACCGGTTGGACAGCCATCTCCATATGGAGTAATGGTAAGTTTCCCTGTGTGTGTGTGTGTTGGTTTATAGGGGGTCACGAATCGATTTCACAGTTAGAGAACCATTGAGCCACCATTCAGAGAGTACTACTAGACAGCTGGTCGTTGTTTCGTCCTTGTTTGGGACTTTTCAGTCACAGGCATCCATGATACCACACATCTGGGATCAAATCCAGGACCTTCAGGTGTTGTTACAAAGTGAAGTTGTATATCGTTGAGTCATTTGGGTGGAATCCAACGGCCCATCAACTTACACTATATTGATAACTGGTTTTTTAGTTTAACCGCTATCATTGCGATATGCAGGTGTTAGACCACCACGGCGTCAAGGTATCAGTTATCGGTCGAGTGTCTGTTTGCTATCTCCTGTGTTAGGTAGTATTGTGGTAAGAGCTGGCTGCGAACAAACCGAAATTGTGGACAACAATTTACGTCAATGTTCACCTCCCGAATCAGGGTCACGAGAAAGACAATAGCAAAGCATAACCTTGGGAATTATTAATATTATTGTTTTCCCCTTGGGTTCCTAATGGAACATAGGGCTTCAACTCCACGTCTCCACTTGCTTCTGTCTTCTGGTGTACCTTTCACCTGCATCCATGTTAGTCCATACTCTTTCAGCTCCTCTTCACATGATCTCCATGTCACTCTTACACCGACGTCCCACTCACCGCTTCCCTTTTGGCCTGGTTCCACTCGAGCAATGGCCTGACGGCCTCCAAAGCCTCAGGATGGTCGGGGGTGGGTGTCTTGCGCTGCGGGCTAGCCACCCCTCCGTACACCTCTTGAAATGTTCCCATATGACCGTGCGTCTTACATAGCCTCTCCTGAGGAAGTCCTACTCACTGCCTTCACGTGGCGGAGGTGTTTTTCACCGAAGTGAGAGGGCAAAAGCGGATGCCCGGCGCTCTTCACCGGGTTGACTGTCCATTGGATGACAGTCTAGGGGAGATGGCTAAACCCTGATTCCAAACCTCCAACGACTGGCGTCTGAAGCTCACCGGAGTTCACCGGCAGACGTATGGACAAAGGACTTATTGGATGCCCTGGATGTCTGGCCCCATTCAAAAAGGCGTATGAACCGGACTCCGGTCACCGGCTGCCAATGGATAGTGGACTCCCTACTCCACTCCTACTGCCTTGTAGGTCACACTTGGCTGTGTAAAGGCTAGAGCTGCACTCTCAAACAAAAGGCCGAGCGATTCTGGGGACATCACTCGTACCCAATTCCCATGAAACTTCATCAACTCTCTTACAAACATTCGAGATGTTCATGAAGCCGGTTCATCCTCCCGTAGGAGATAGCCGAAGTAAAGTAAAGTAAGTAAGTAATGGCCTGACGCGCGCGTGATGTCACCCAGCGGCGGCCTCCTCAGCGAGTGAGTGTCCAATCCATCTCAATCCACTTTCTCCTGCATAATATTTGTTGGTTGGCGATTGGTTCTTGTTTTGTTTGTTAGTGCCCATAGTGATTCTTGTTGGTGATTGTTTCCGGCCCGGCCATCTGATCTTCAGTTAATAGCGATAGTTGACAGTTGTTGGTTGATAAAGGTCTTCAACAGGCTGTTGGAAATATTCTTTTTGACCCCATGCCAAGTTTCTGATTCGTATCGAAGAACTTTACCCTTGAGAAAATAACCACCAATCACAGAGAAGTTAACGTGTGCAAATAGGATTCACAGATATACGGCTTAACTTTCTACGAAATGCTCACAATCAATACAAAATGACTTTCAGCAAGAAAGCAACAAATCAGAAAAGGTTGCTTCTCTGCTAACAATAACGAATAGTAATTTACATAGAAATGTATAAATATAAAAAAGAGAATCTTTCGATGAGGCTGTGAAGCCACATCGATTGAGATAGCTGGGGCACATGTTGCCTATGTCTTTCCATTGCCTTACTCGACGGCCAGTGTTTGCTGACATTGATTTAGGTCGGAAAAACAGCCAATGGTGGTCAGACGAAAACACGGAATCATTCCATGAAATCTTTGACAGTGTGTTGTTTAAGCCAGCTAGCCATGTTGAGAGAGGTGTAGACTGGGTAGCTAGCTGGTTGGGGTGTCCTCGGGATGGTAAGAACAATGGAAAGCTGGAGACAGTTAGTGCTACGACTGGATATCTCTTCTCAATGGTACAAATGCAGTCACTTTCTGTGATCCCCGATATCTATAGATAAAAGACCTTTTTGCTTCTCCCGGATCTCGTTTCTTCTTTTTTTTGTCCTCCTTTGTTTGGTCTTCATGGAGTATGGTGACTCGAACCGCTGGACGTCTGTGCAAAGTTCTGTGTCGAAACATAGTCAGTCAGTCAGTCTCATTCTCTATAGAAAAGTTTTTTTTATTTTTCTTCAATCACTTTAATTGTTACAAACAATAGCTCTGTATCTTTTGCAGAGTCTTCTGAACACCTTGCGCTGCAATCTACGAATGTTTGGCGTGCGATTCGCTCCCGCCAAATGCAAGATGATGTTACAGGACTGGACTACACTGACTCCTAGTTTGGAAATAAGGCGTGAAGTGGTAGAGCACGTTGGCCGCTCCACTTATTTGGGAAGTACCATCAGCCAGTGCCAACGTGTTGATCTCTGACGAAATCTCAGCACGGATACAAAGGAGGCTAGTTTCGTATATGCCAGTTTACGCCGTCTCTGGCATAGCAGACGTGATATCCGGCTGACTATCGGCCAAAGGGCGGGTGTACTGCTCATCAGTCTGCTCCGTCCTCCTTTATGGCTGCGAGACCTGACCATTGACAGTAGAAGACATAAAAAGATTAGCTGTCTTTGATCATAGGTGCCTGCGCTCTATCTCCCATGTTAAGTGTTATAATAAGGTGAGCAACCTTGAGGTTGAGCTTCGGTCGAGTGCTAGGTAAACAGGGGAAATCAATCGACGAGGCTGTGAAATTACATCGACTGAGATGGTTAGCATATGTGTTAGGTATGCCTAGTCATCGCCTTCCTTGACAATGGGCAATGTTAGCTGACATAGGGTCAGGTTGGAAAAGAGCCAGCGGCGGTCAAACCAAAACATAACCTCATCAGTCAATGAAATCTACAACAGTTAGTTTAAGACATGTGGTCCTCGGGACGGCGGAAACCAATGGTTGGAAACAATTGGTGATATGGCTCAAACTCATCGTTCTCAATGGCCAGCGCAGATGCATCCACTCCCTGTGACTTATGATTTCCAATAAAAGTATATTGTTCTTGGTTATTAATATTCCTTTGTCTCATACCTCTGTTTACTGTCCCTATTATGCATTTCTTCTATTTACTTCTCTTGCTTTGTGTGCTACAAGGAGGGTAGTTTGGCGACTTGAACTGGTGCACATATGTGCAAAGTTCTATGTCGAAAACAGACAGACAGACACCTCTGTATGTTTTAGTTTTTTTTTTGATGATTTTTAGGATTTGATACTTATAGATTCGGGGCATCTCTTCCACATTTTAGCCACAAAATATGATGCATCAAGTCCCGGGACAATACAACCTCACCAGCATCAATCCACTGTGTTTTCCATCTAGTCCCAATGATCAAAAGCATAATTCACCATCATGCCATCAAAATACTAATTCATTGCATAGAATATTTCCACCACGAGACTCAAGTCTTCCTCCTCAATATTTAAATGTCACGCATAGTCCACCAACTCATCTGGATGCAAGTCATCAAGCATCACCTGAACAGCATTTATACAATACTCCTAACCAGAGAAGCGTTGTAATAAGGCGGCAAACAAGTGATTTCCCACCTATACTAATCAATCAATATCTGAAGAGGATAATAATAATTATCAGTGTACTGTTGCCCCAGATCTTCTAATCGATCATAATCAAACAGCTAATCATATTCGTGTGGGTGTGAATTGTTTACCACAGTACAGTCTTACAACAACAAGATCTCCATTAATCCCTGGACAGCAACAACAAGTACCTCATTTCTTGCATCCTACATCAACTGTTCCTATAGTTATGACTTCTATGACTATGTCGTCAGCTGTTATTCATCCTAATGCAAGTAACTCTGCTGCCCAGTCAATGTTGTTCCCAGTACCGTCTACATCGAATCCAAGACAGCATACTTGTTCAATATCACCGAATGCTGCTGTAAGTTAAGACTACCTTTTATTGTACTTCCTTTATTGATTATCATATTAGCATTATTTACAGGTCTGTTCATGAAATGATGTCAGTTAGAGAGAGGACCATTAAAAACCACCAGGGAGTACTGGATAAATGGTTGTTTCTTCCTTGTTGTTTGAGACTCTTTAGAAGTAAGCATCCACCTCCAGGGTTCGAAGGTACGACCTTCCGATTACAAGGCGAGTTCATAGACGATTCAGTCACTTGAACCCCGATCCAGTGGTCGATGACTTCCAAGTTCTGCCAGTTCGCGATATTAGAACAAGACATATATATAGGCGAACAATATTGTTGTTTTCAATTAGATCTTCTTCAGGCTTTGCTCTAATTTACATAGATTTATATATATATAAATCTTAACCAATGACGGTGATTTTGTGGATCAAATAATAATAATAATGTGGTAAATGTTTTGAACGTAGTTAATATCGATGATTATAATGATAATAAAATATTGATAATAAGGTTTATGCAGGTGGCGATAAGAAGAATAACGAAGGTAGTGAGTGATATGTGTATACGTAGACAATCCCAGTGGGTGCATACTGCCGATGTTTCCCAAACTAGGATGAAATAGCTGTCCAGTACTCCTTGGTTTTCAATGGTTCTCTAACTGATATCAATCCGTGATCAACTTGTAAAAGCATAACTAAGCCTTACAAACCAAACTATAGAAATTAGGTCAAATCTTAAAGGTTACGTAATACTAACTGTGAAGTGGACAGATAATCAGAGTTTAAATAAATATCATAAAAGTACGAAGAAAGTAAATGGAACATAAGAAAGGATCGGAGGGTTTTGATTAGAATAAGACTAGGATTGTACTCTCGAATCAATTTCCATAGCTTCGGCTATATGTAAAAGGCGGGTTCGAAAGGCTCGATGGAATACGATAGATGACTTTGAAGGCACTTCTTCTTTTGTCCACTTGGTGACCGCTATCAATCAAATTAGTCACATTAGAACTTCTTATAGATTTTATTTCACCTTTTCCGAATCATGAAGTAATTCGAACCCGCCTTTTACACATAGCCGAAGCCATGGGAATTAATTCGAGAGTACAATCCTAGTCTTATTCTAATCAAAACCCTCCGATCCTTTCTTATGTTCCATTTCCTTCCTTCGTACTTTTATGATATTTATTTAAACTCTGATTATCTGTCCACTTCACACTTAGTATTACGTAACCTTTAAGATTTGGCCTAATTTATTTATTTATTGAATTGTCTACATATATGCATATACTACCTTTGTTATTCTTATCGCCACCTGCATAAACCTTATCAATATCTTGTTATCATTATGATCATTGTTATTAACTACGTTCAAAACATTCACCACATTATTATTATTATTATTATTTGGTCCGCAAAATCACCGTCATTGGTTAAAATTTTTATATATATAAATCTATGTAAATTAGAGTAAAACATGATGAAGATCTAATTGAAAACAAAAATATTGTTCGCATATATGTCTTGTTCTAATATTAATGATAATGGGAATATTTAAAGAGTTCACGATATATTTAGCGTAACTATTGGTCGCCAGTATCACAGGCAACCAATTATTATCTTGCCTGGCTTGGTGGACCCGCCGATTGTTGTTGTCATTATTATTATTATCATCGTTAAATATGAAGAGGTTTTCTCATCTTTGACCATAGATGTTTGCCCGTGTCAATTGGTTATATAGTGTAGCGAGTAAAATTAAGATTCATCGTAGAAGTAGTATTAGGTAAGGTGGGTAAGTCAATCGATTGAGGTGGTTAGGACACGTGTTGCACAATGTTAGCTGAAATGCTATGAGGCTGAAAAAGACGTTAGGGTGGTGATGATGGTGAAAACAAAACTTCACATCAATCCATGTTATCTCTGATTGTTCGTTTGAGCCATGTTGTATAGCAGTGTAGATTGTCTAGCTAGGGTCTTTACAACTCTAGGAGCCAAACTCGGGAAGTTACTGGTGACATGTTTCACTATGGTTCTCAGTAGCGTAGATGTATTCACTCTTTGTAATGTGTTATGTAACTGTTTCTTATCCATTCGTACATTTCTACTTATTATGGTTATTTTATGTGTTGTTTCTCTACCTTCGTCTGGCACATGGGTTGTGGTAACGTGAACTGTAGGCACCTGTCCTTGCAGAGTCTGTATGCTAAAACTCAGTCAGTTAGTTAGTCATCATTGCTAAGATTTTGAAACACCTCTATATACTCTCATGAAAATTATAAGTCAGCGTGAATGATGAATATTTCGGTTTTCAAGTATTGGTTTTGTTGGGATTTTTTTTTGTTTGATTGCATGAAGGATTTCATCATAAGCTGACATCAGTTAGAGAACCACTGGAAAACGAGCTGAGAGTACTGGACAGCTGTTTCTGTTGTCCTAGTTTGGGACTCTTCATCAGTACGCAGTATGCTCACTAGCGACTGGCCCTATTCAGGCAGTGACCTGGGGTTCTAGTGGGAAGCCGTGACCAGTCCGTCTGTCTGGGTTCAACATGGAACTTGGCACTGAAGTGCACCAGTTCGAGTTGCTACGTTCCAAATATCACACAAAGGTAGACAAGAAGATGAGTGAAGAGAATCAATAGAATTTGATAAGTATAAGTTCATTCTTAGTGAAACAGAATGAGTAATGGTAGAAATATGAATATGAAAGATTACAGAGACTGAATACATGTGCGCCATTGACAACGATTTTGAGCCATGTCACCTATTGTCTCCAGCCATTGATTCTTAGAGTCAGTCCCGAGGACCCCAACCCGGAAGTCTGCATCTCCCTACCTTACTCAGTTTAACTGTCAAGGATTTCATGGATTGATGACATGTTTTTGTTTGGCCACCACTTACACTTTTCCAACCTGCACCTATATCAGTTAGTAAAGCCCATCGGGGGAGGCGATGGTTAGGTATGCGCACTACGTCACCTAGCCATCTCAATCTATGTAACTTTATAGCCTCGTCGATTGATTTTCCCTCTTTGCCCAACACTCTACGCCTAACGTCAACATTACTTACACCTTATTAAACCACCTAACGTGAGAAAGAGATCGTAGACATCTATGATCGAAAGCAGTCAACCTTTTCATGTCTTCAACAACTCGTATTGGCCATGTTTCAGAGCCATAGAGAAGGACGGAGCGAACTGGTGAGCAGTACACACGTCCCTTGGTTGATAGCCGAATGTCACGCCTAAGCCAGAGATGGTGTAAGTCAGCAAAAGCAGCTCGAGCTTTCTGGATCCCTTCTGAGATTTCGTCACCAACCAGTCCGTTGGTGGTGATACAACTTCCCAAATAGGTGAAGTGATCAACATGTCCTATCTGACCAGTAAGGTACAGCAGGTTGAAGATGAGGCAGTAACTCATCTAAGAAGACATTGCGAAATTGTCGTGCTATGTCATGAGTTGGCAGAAGTTAAAATTCAAGGACCATTGGATTGGTTCCCAGTGGCTCAAAGGTCCACGAGCTTTCCTTGTATCCAGAAGGTCCTGAATCCGAACCCCGGTGGATGCATACTGATGAAGAGTCCCAAACTAGGACGAAGCAGCTGACTGTCCAGTACTCCCAGGTTTTCCAGTGGTTCCCTAACTGATTTCAGCACATGATGAAATCCTCCATGGAATATTATGGTGTTTTTCCTTCGAAAGGAATTCTGTACTTATAAAATACAATAATAACCAGCCAATCAGATAGGTATGCGTTAGGTGGGGATACATTTGTTCTCTATGCTCAGTTAAATTCCTGTCTTTACTGCTTCTTCTACCAACTTGTTGGTCTTGGCCTGTAGGTCATTAGAAATAAATCATCTGCGAAGTTCAGATCCTCTAGAGTCTTCCTATCGTTCCAACGTATTCCTGTCTTCTCACTCTCGCACATATGGTCTCTCGCATACTCCAATGTAATCCACCACAATCAAGAATATCATAGGTATTCATTTCAAAGAAATTGCTGGATTTTCCGTTGTGGATCACTTTATATATGTCATTGGCATATAGCTGAAGCAGTTTCCAGATGACTTCTCGGTCAACGTTGTCAAAGGTATCTTTGATGGTCACTGAAGTCCACTTTTTCTTTATTCCTTCACATTCCCAATGGATCATAGAGCTTCAAACTACAGACTTGAAGTTTCGGTAGCAATGGTGTTTATTTTTTTTCTTTTTTACGGGATATGGGGTTGCTAGCCAGCTTCACATAGCCCAACCTTCCCTCTCTACCAGTCTTATTACTGGCTTAGCGAGGTAACGCAATGCGTCGGTGGCCGGCGATCTAACCCCAAACCACATGCAGCGTAGTTGGAGAGCATTCTACCCCTGTGCTATTGATGCACAGTTCCACTACTTAGTAGTGTTCAATCAATCTTGATCACGTTAAAGAGAGAAAACTGGTCATGAGACTAGCAACATCAACTCACCAGTCAATTCTGAAACTTATATATATATATATATTACTTGCTCCCTTCTATATAATTTTCGTCCTATTTTTATTATAGTCTCGTCCAGATTCTTATGGTGTGATAAACAGACAGTTTTATAATGAAGACAATCGTATATTATCAAATCAACGATGCTCTCAGGGTAACTTTGCTTATACTGGCGTTGAATGTATCGGTGTCGATGTGGTTGGCAGTGTTGGTGGTAGTAATAATGACTCAGATGCATTTGATAGTGAAGATGAGATAATCTCATTGACTGAAGATGATAATCCTGTTGATAGCTGTGGTGCTGCTCTTGCAGATGATGGTGGTCAGGTCAGCAATTCCAAGATAACACACAGTGAAGACAATGAATTCTGTCAAAGACAACAATTAGGACACCAATTGCCTTCACATATCACTTGTCATCATGATCATCACCATGGAACTAATGAAATCCATCCTCACCTCTATACTCATATGATGATTGGTAGTCATTCACATACAAATCCTTATTATATACCTAATTTCATAAATCAAACAACAACGACACTTGAATCACAACCTCCAGTGGTGATCACAACAACAACAACAACAGCAACATCAGATGTGATGCATACCCGATGTTATTCATTTATTGGTCAAGATGATGGTGAAATATCTAGTGTAAGTCAAAGTGCTAGTCAAATTGTACCGAATGCATCCTCCTCTCCGTCGTCGTCGTCGTCCTCCCCCATCTTCTTCTTCGAAAGATTCACCATCCTTATCGTCCCCATCATCTGCGTCGGCGACTGGATCACCTTTGAAAGTATCCTCGCAGCAACATTTATTACCAGCACATTCCTTCAATAAATCACCTATCATCATCAAGGATGATGAATATACTGGAACAACTGATACACCTGCTTCTATGTCTGTTGTTCCTAGGGAAGCAGTTAGGGATGACCACTGAAAAGAGGGAAGTGTGTGTGCGTGTGTCGATTGCTTTTTGTGGACATTTTTTTTTACTAGCTTTATTCTCCATCCCGTCCCGCCTCGCCCAGCCCCTAACTCATCTCTTCTGTGTAAAATATTTCATATTAGCCTTAATTAATTAACGCCTTGATGAGTGT